TCTCTGAATATTTTGTAGTATGAGCCATCGAATCCGTCTGGTCCTGGTGCTTTATTGCCTTTCAGGCACGAAATAGCTTTGTCTATTTCTTCTTCTGAAATATCTGCCGCAAGAGTGCTTGCTGCCTCCCCATTCAATTTAGTCAACCCTAGGTTGTCTAAATATTGCCATATGTACTCCTCCTCACGCTCACCGAGGGGGATTCCATCCGGCGTGTGGTTATACAATCTTTTATAAAAATCTTCGAAAATCTGCGCTCTCTCAACCGGTCTTGATCTCGTCGTGCCGTCCGGTGTTTAATCGCCGTTATGTGGGACCTCTCCTGCCTCGGCCGAAGCGTCCTGGCCAGGAGGGTGTCCACCTTGTTCGCCTTTTCAAAAAAAGTCCTTTTTGACCAGGTCATGGATCTAGCCGTATCGTCCAGTAGTAGAGTTCGGACGTCGCTTCTAACTGCTTCCAGTTGCCTGAGAGTGCCTACTGTTGGCGCAGTTTGGTGTTTTTGTTCTAGGGATCTCAGTTGTCCCAGCAAAGTTTCCAGTTTCTGGTGTTTCATTTTCTTTCTTCTGGTAGCCAGTTTAATTAGGGTCCCTCTAATGACCGCTTTGTGGGCTGCCCAGATCGTGCTTGCGTTCACTTCGGGAGTGGTGTTCATCTCAAAGTAATCTGTGATTTCCTTCCTAGTCTGTTCCAGTATCTCTGGATCACGAAGCAGTGACGTGTTCAGTTTCCATGTCCATGGTGAGGCAACGCATAGGTTGCCCAATGTAATGGATATATCTGCGTGGTCTGACCAAGATATATTGCCCACCTGTGACCCTACTGTTCGGGACATTCCCGCTGCGTTAGCCAAGAAGAGGTCTATCCTCGAGTACGTTCCGTGGGGAGCTGAGTAAAAGGAGTAATCTTTATCCCCTGGATGATGAGCTCGCCATATATCTACCATTCCCGTTTCGGCCATGAAGTCTTTAAGTAGACGGTCCTGGCCACCCCTTCCCTGTGATCTAGGTGTTCCCTTCCGTGAGCTCCTGTCCGCCGCTGGGCACGGGGCTGCGTTAAAATCGTCACCTAAAAATAACATTCCGTGGGGCAGTCCCGAGATTTTCGCTCGAAGCACTCTCCAAAACCTTGGGTCCGGCTGATTCGGCGCATAGATGTTTATCAGATGAATGGTATGCGAGTGTAGGATGCCCGAGACAATAACAAAACGACCTTCCGGGTCTGCTTCATAATGTGTCTTACAGAAGGGGCAGCTACTTCTAGTGAGAATTGCCACCCCGTTTCGTTTGCAGTGGGACCTGGCCTCGTATGAACCGGCATATGCGTGGTCTCTCAACCGAAACTTGGCCTGTTTTGGCAAATGGCTCTCTTGGATAAACGCAATGTCCGATTTCATTCTCTTCAGTTCTTTGAACAGGAGTCGACGCTTTTTCGGGGTGTTAAGGCCTTTAACATTCAGGGAGGTGATCTTAATCTCCATCGGGCGGAGCGTTTAGGGCCCTATATTTATTTCTCATGACCTTAGTCTCATCTTGTTCCCTGTTAGGGCTCTGAGAGAAGACCGCTGCTAGCCCTCCGCCCCCACCATCCCCCAGAATAAGAGTAAAGAGAGAAAAAGGAGGGGTAAAGAGAAGAAAAAGTAGAGAATAAGAACAACATCTGGACTCAGTCCGATGTACAGAAGTTCTGATCTTACCGATTGCCAGAATGTTGTGGGGACCATCATCCCACTTCCCTGCCACGATCAACGTTGGGAGGAACAATGGGACCCTGAACTCCTCCACTTAGGCGCCACTTATTATTTGCTCGGACCTCTATGTGAACCGATCAAGTAACAGCATTATCTAGCCTCTTTGGTGCCCGTTCCCTTCTCTTCAGTAGTTCAGGTTCTGCCCGGGGATCCCTAAGAAAGTCTCTGCCCTTCATGGGCCCAGTAAGAAACTAAGACTGCCTGGTCCCATTACCCTGTATTACCGGGGTCACCTCCCTTTGTGCATTCACCTCCTCCCCGCCGCCACACCATTAAGACATATGGACTACTATACAAAAGTATCTACTTATAAAATGCATATTACGGGCTATTATTTTCATTGTGTTCTGTATGGATCACTAGCGCGTTGGATCCTCTCCCCCCCTTCTATCCTCACCCCCCCATCCAGCCCCCATGCCCTTAGAGAGCCAATCCACCCCTGCAACTTGTTGTTCATAACCTTCTACTGTTGGTTGGGTGTCATATATTGGGGGAGTATACAGATATATTCGCGGCTATTTCCATCATAACCTAGTTAACCATATCTAATACCATAGGTAAGTGGGGCAGAGAGGGTTACACATTTAACCGTAATGTGCGCAAATGCCTTAATAGTACGGGGATCTCAATTCAGGACCTTACCCGTCATGAGCCCTTTAGGAAAACTAAGGAAGCCCGATCCCTTTACTCTGGGTCACCGGGGTCACCCCCTCCTTTTACCCCCCCCCTCACCGTTAACCATCATAGGTTACCGTACAACATAAATCAATCAACAAAACAATAGTATTGCGGGCTATCGGTCTCGTTGCGTTCAGTCCTGGTCGTTTAACGCATTGGGTCCTCTAGTCTATCTCCGTGTTCTCCCCCCGCCCCCCCGCACCGCACCACCCAAGAAACCCCCCCCACCAGGAACCAACCCCCTCCATCCACCTGTTTTTCATGACCTTCTGCTATTGGTTAGGTGTCATATCTTGGGGGATAATACATGCATATATGCGGTCATTATTGTCTCAGCACAATTAACCATATCGAGTACCATAGGGGGTATGACTACAGTGGGAAGCTACATACAACTATAATATGCGCTAATGTCTTCATGATACCTTCTTATTCAGTTAGGTCCAACTTCCTGATTGCCCGAATTACTGCTTGCCCGGCCGGGTAGTCGCCCCCCGCGGCCGACCTCCTACAAGACAGTCATAGGTCCTGCCAGAGGGGGCAAGTAGCCGCACAGGAAACAGTCTATGTTGCCGCGAACAATCAGTATTAAACTCCCGACTTGTGACTTCCAAACTATATACTCGGGGAAGCCGTATGGTTTTGATAGTACACGGGGCCTACCACCATCTTTCAGAGTACCGAGATGGGCGGTATATCTAGCAAATCCAAGTAAAAAGATTGTCTGCAGGTACCTTTCCTCTGGAAAGGCCTGTTGATTTAGCATTTTAAAAAGCCTGTCCTATAGAAACGACACTTGTAGATTGTGTATTATCAGATTCTAATCACTTTCATTTGTTATTTTCATATAAATTTAACTAGAAATATTGTCTGTCTTTCGGTCTCGCCTTCTCACCCTCACATTCTTTTCCCCTCATTTTTCTTTTTACTTTTTCTCCCTCCCCTTCCCTCTCTTTTGTTAATCCAACCTCTAGTGGCTGTCTCATTGAAAATCACAGTGAGAAAACGCCACCGTCCATAGGAAAGCATTGTGAATGCTTTCCTATGAGACTGGCTGAATGCGTGCGCAACTCCTGCCGCGCATGCACATTCAGCCGGAGAGGAGAGCTCCCCGCCCGGCACTGGAGAAAGAGGTAAGTTTAACCCCTTCCTCCCCCCCCAGATCCTGGCGGGAGGGGGACCCTGGTGGGGGCACCCTCAGGGCACTATAGTGGTCCTTTAATCAGCTCGTGTCTTTGTTTTCTGACTCCCTCTCCTGAGGAAAGCTCAGGTAAACACGTTACCAAAACGGTGATTATATATGTCTGATCAGTAAAGTAAGGTTGTGATACTATAAATCAGTGTGCTGGGTAACCTAAGACGCCCGCATATAAAGTTTTGGTGGTGGCAGTAAAGTGTGTACTAGGGTGTTTGTGTAGAAAGCATTTATTGCTGGTATTTATAAAGTACCAACAGATTCCACAGCACTGTACAATTAGTGGAGGACGTTCAATATACACAGACAAATAAAAAAGGTAGAGAGGGCCCTGCCCATAAGTGGATATCTAGCCATTTAAGCCCTTTTTACAAAGTGCTTAGCTATATAGCCTGTGAGCTTACAATCTAAAGACGACCATGGGGATTTGAGACAAGAGGTAGCAGGGGAAATTCGGAGTGATGGCTAAAAGAAGTTGACAGAGTAGTGGCTATTAGTCAAATATAAAGGGAATGAAGAGGTAATTGAGTGAGAATCTCAAATAGCTGGAGGAGCATTCTATATATTTAGGGAGAACCTGGGTGGGCACTGCTAAGGAAAGATGCAGAGCCTGAGTATTGTTTCTGTGAGTGTGACGTGAGGCCTGAGAGTTGTGGGATTTGCTGCAGGATGTCAAATGCAGAGCTTGACTATTGTTGTTTCTGTGAGAGTGAAGTGAGGCCTGAAGAACAGAGATGGAACAGTTACATAAAGGTATTTACAGCCAGGTGGAGCATAGGAAAAGGGAGAGTGTGGGGGAGGGTAGAGTAGCCATTTGTTGTATACAATTTCAAAGTTTAGCAACCAAATTCCAACACCCAAAATATTAATAACTGTGTACATTAAATATTGGTCAAACATTATTTATTGGTTGCTGGGACTAGGATATATTGCGATTTCTTTGTACGTTACTATGTTTACAATAGTCTTGTTTAATTTTATTTCTCTCTCAATCTATAGATATTATGTGGACCTTTGTTATTCTACTGTTGTTTCTGGGTAATAGTTACTCAGTCTTAAAGGTGTGTCAGAAACTAGAGAGGTTTCTACAGGTTATTTCACATTAATTTCATTTTTGGAGGCATCTTATATTTCTTTTTGTTTGAATTAGAAATATACACATTTTGCATTCATGAGCTCTGTTGTCGGACTGAGCTCAATGTGGTTTGTGTGTTTCTCCTTCTCAACTATAGTAATGGTCCGGTGGTATTGCCCAAGTCAGCAAGAAAGTGGTGCCTCTGATGTAATGTGGGTGGGTGATTAATAAGCCTTTAATGTCTGAAAGATAACGCAATGTTCCCTATGGATACATTATATTTTGTGAAATAAACACAACACAAATAATACACTAGCAAAATACTTTATTTTTTTTCAATGGCAGAACATAAGTGATTTTTTTTCTCTTCAGTAAGCCATGGCATCTGTGGTACAAGAATAAAGTATAGTTTTAACATTTCCAAACAATTAAAAAATCCCCCAACAAAAAGACCAACTGTTTGGGACAATCTCTCCATTTACAAGTAGGGAAATGAAAGTTACATATATCTCCCCTACACTCAGGAAAAATATATATATATATATTTAAAGAATTAGTTTTTTTTTTTTAAATCTATTAAAAAAGTAAAAAATATACAGTCAAGATCTAGTTCTTATTTAATCTCTTATATAAAACTGTAAACATTTATTTACATGAAAGGAAGTGTGTTCAAAAGGAGTTACACCACATGCTTATCAATTCAGAGACCGGAAAAGCAGTTTGAACCTTGCTATTTAAAGGGTACATATTGAAAACAGCCCCATAATGACTGGGGACAGTACTGCACAGTGACAATTTAACTGTATTTGACTGGCCCCCACTCACCACCTTAAAAAGTAAAAAAAAAAAAAAAATTTAAAAAAAGTTAGAGAGACAGACAAGTATACACAATTACTTATTGCTGAATCGATGTGCTAATTCTGGAAAGATAACATCTTATGAAATTAGAAAATCTAAAAATAAAGCAACATTCTGGGAATTATAAACATCTCTCATTGGAGTCCACAGAGAATGGTTCAACAATGAATGAGGGTCTCGATAAGCACTCTGCAACAGTGATACACTGGTAGGCCTATAATGGTTTCCCAGGGGACATTAGGCATCATAACTACTTTATTGACATGTAGTTAACACTCCCAGATTGTCCCTTAAAGTCCAACCTGAATGAACTAAAAAAAAAAAAAAAAAAAGTGTCATCATGAAGTCTGAATTACTGTATTATTGAGGGCATCAGGGACACTGCTTGAAGGACCTAATTAAAAGGATCCTAATAAAGCTGACATTTTCTAGAAGACAATTCATAGCTATAACCTTTACTTTATAACTGTTTTGACTCATTCTCCATATAATGAAGAACATTAAAAAGGTAACAATGACACCATTATTAGTACCTAAGGGCACTAACATTCAATATATATAACTTTTAAGTTTGCCATGTGATGCATTGTGGTGACACTTACCAAACAATTATTATAAAACAATGGCATAATGAAATAAGCCATTACTGTAAAGGGTACTCAAATTGGATTTGTCAAGTTTCTTAGAAGCATGAAACAAATACATTCCTTATGGTAAAATGAATATTAAGCGTTCACAGAAGATAGTAGCTGTAGTAAACATCAATCTAGAAGCCAAGTTATGGGCTTTATTCGGTTTTAAAGCATCTCAAACAAAAGGTTAACAGATAAAGTTAGCAGTAGTATATACAAAACGTGACCAAATGCATAATCTGATTGTGGTACACTAATGAGTATATTCCAATGGATATCATCACAGTGGCTTACTTCCAATTTGGAAGAAAAAATTAAAACTTTTCAGCTCTTTAAAGGGACACTGTAGGCATGCAGACCACTTCAGTTAATTGAAGTAGTTTGGGTGCTGTGACCCTTTTGCACTTAGTGCTGCAATGTCAAACATTGCGGTTCCAGAGAACTACAATGTTTACATTGCAGTTCTAAGTCTGCCCTCAGTGGCTGTCTACCAGACAGCCACTAAAGGGCTTCCAGAATCCAAATAGACTTTTGATCAGTTATCTGACACTGAACGTCCTCAGTGTTTTTAACCCCTTCAGCCACGCGGGAGGGGGACCTATTAACCCTATCGTGCCATGAAAACTGCTTTGTTTTCCTGGCACTATAGGATCCCTCTAAGGTGTGCATTTCATCTTAAGGCTTCAAAACTCCAAAATGTAAATGTCAGGAGTTTCAGTTCCATTAAACCCCTACACTACAGCAAGCTGTAGTGGCCATGGTGTCAGGGGTCCTCTGTCAGAGAGATGAGCCAATGCTCTAAGCCAGTAAGCTAGAACTGCATTGCAATGGTTTGGCTCAGGAGAGCAGATGCAATGGTCAGCAGAACCCAGGTAAGAAGTTAAGCCATTCTAAACGGACTACTTACAATGGACTGAATGGAGGGATGCCAGTGCACTCCGAGCACCTTAACCACTACAGTGCAATGGTGCTTGGAGTGGTCCTTAATAAACCCACAAGTGTGCAACTCAAATGTTAAACCTCTGACAGGATTTGACATTTAAAAATGCACTTCAGATGGATGCCCTACTAAATCCTTAATTGTCTACAGGTTTAACATAAAACTATCCAATCTTTGATGTAAACAAATATTAATACCGCACTGACAATTTAATGTGTCTAATGATGACAAGAAGTATTTGAATTATGCAAAATGTAATCAATCAGTAATAGTCAAAAAGTTCAAAGTTATATATACACAGAACTGCCACATACAGAATGGTCAAAAAACATTTTGGTGGCGGAATACAAAAAAAATTTAAATTAAAAATGGACAGTGTCTCAGTAGAAAAACATTTTTAGAAATAAAAAAAATCTCTCCAAAAAGTGTTTGAGATTTGTAGATGGGCAATATGTAGGTAAGTTTTTTCTCACTGTAGTGGAGAATGATGTAGATATTTATTTCCTCTACAGCTGGTTGTTTTCTTCCTATATAGCTGGAAACAAGTAGTGTGTAAATGGATGATATCAGTGTCCCTCCAAGATCCTTAGTCTATATATACCTACTTGGTCTTGGTTCTTCTAGCAGGGCCTTCGAAGGGATGCCATATTCCCGAGCACGCAGCCCAGATTGCTGCAGGCTGGACAGAGACTGAAATACTTACACCATCCATCTATACAGCCCTGATTACTAAATACTGGAGGGACACTGATATTATCCATCTACACACTACTTGTTTCCAGCTATATAGAAAGAAAACCACCACCTGTGGGGAAAAGAAATATATACCACACTCTCCACTACAGTGAGAAATGAAAACAAAAAACACTTACCTACATATGGTCCATCTACCAATTGTTTTCATTTCTAAAAACGTTTTTCTACTGAGAGTGTCAATTTTTATTTTGTATTTTTTTGTACTCCGTCCCACCAAAAAATTTGTCTGATTAGACTGTTGGATATCTACCTACTGAGAGAGTACTTTTTATCCAACAGTAGAGTATAAATTGGTGGATCCACCAGGCATGGGGATTGTCATTAATTAAATTACAGAGATATACATATGAGATGTGCACATAAGATGAATTGTTGCTATAAGTAAGGGTTGTACCATATGATTGAGGTTGTTTGCGTTTTTTTGAACCATTCTGTGCGTGGCAATTCTGTATATATGATTTTAAATTATTTGATAATTACTGATTGATTAAATTTTGCATAATTCAAATACTTTGTCATTAGACACATTTAAGTGTCAGAGTGCGATATTTTTATTAGATTGTTTATACTTTTTGGGGGTTTGTGGAGAGTGCCAACACATTAGTATTTATCAATCTTTGATATACTGATACACAGGGCTGTGAATCAGACAAAACACACAGTAAGGCAAAGGAAAAGAAATAAATAAAATACAGTCAAAAGGAAGAAATGCCCCCTTAGTGCTGTTTACGTGCAACAGAGAAAGAAAATCATGTGCTAGAGTAAAACATGCTATTCACAAATGCAAAGCCAGTAAATTTGTCGCTCAAAAAACAAACCTAAAACTGGTTTAACTCTACAGTCTGAAAGAATATTTTAAAAAATTTATTTATAGTTTTCTTACTAGAGGAGAGCTTGCCTGCGAGCTGTAAATGTGCTAGTAGTACAACCAACAAGCAGCCACGAAGAACCTGCATACAACAAAAAAAAGTGTAAAATAATCCAATGGCTGCCTGGGTATCATTGGAACGATGGCAAACAAGCAGCTGCAATGACAAATGTTGGCCAGCAGCATCTTGGACTTTTTAAACTGCCATTTAATCAATTATATTTTACAACTAGTTAAGCCCTACTGTAGGCCTAAAAAAAAACTAAATATGAATTTGTTAAAGAATAAAAATAAAAAAAGTTGCAAAAATGAACAGAAATTGATAAAATAAATGTCTCAATGTTTAATTGTTCTATTATCCATGCAAGAAAATCAGTGTTTTAAGAACCTTTCTTCCTTAAAACTTAGCCTAATCAGCAAATCATGTGTTGCTCTGATTATCCTAAAGTTTAGGGTTAGCTTTGTACAGCACTCAAGAAACACACCAACACACCTTTAAAGGGATAGTAAAGACATCAAAACAACTTAATGAAGCAGTTTTGGTGTATAGATCATGCCCCTGCAAACTCACTGCTCAATTCTCTGCCATTTAGGAGGTAAATTACTTTTGGTTCTGTTTAAGCAACCCTAGCGACACCTTTCAAGACTGTGACTGACAAAGTCTGCATGAAAAAAAATGGTTTTCTTTTCAATCAGATTTTAAACATGTTTCAGAAGTTTTTATCTTCTGCTCTGTAAATTAAACTTTAAATTACACATAGGAGGCCCTTGCAGGGTCTGCAGCATCATCCTGTGCAATAATGGAAGTTTAACCCCTCATGTCATGATTCCCCTTTATTCCAGAAGTTTGGTCCTTAAGGGGGGCACTGTAGGCACCCAGACCACTTTAGCTAATTGAAGTAGTCTGGGTGCTGTGACCCTTGTGCACTTAGTGCTGCAATATAAAACATTGCAGTTCCAGCGTCAGCTTTTCCCCATAGGAAAGCATTGAATAATGCTTTCCTATGGGGAGGTCTAATGCGCGTGAGGCCATTGCCGCGCATGCGCACTAGGTCTCCGCCAGGGGAGGAGCGTGGGTGGAACCTGACCCACCGCTAGATTCAGTTAAGTAGCTAAAGGGGTTTTAAAGATCCCTTTAAACATTAGATTACTTTTTACAGGAGTGTTTAGGAAGGCTGTGTAAGTCAGTCACATTCAGGGAGGTGTGACAAGGTTTGTATAAACAAAGTAATTTAACTCCTAAATAGCAGAGAATTGAGCAGTGAGACTGCAGGGGCATGATACATACACCAAAACTGCTTAAAGGGAAACTATAGGCTAGGAATACAAAGTTGTATTTCTAGCACTATAGTAATCCTATAATGCTCCCTTAGCAGCGCAGAGAGGGTTAAACACTGTCACTTGCTTGAATCAAGCACGGATGTCTCTCAGTGCTATGTCAGGCTCGGCCCTCGCTCACATAATGGTTACCCCATAGGAAAGCAGTGAATCAATGCTTTCCTATCGGGTTTTAGCCATCCTTGGATGTCCTCATGCTAGATAGACAGCCACTAAAGGTGGAGTTAACCCTGAAAGGTAATTATTGCAGTTTCTCAATAACTGCCATAATTACTATTGAAATGGTAAGCTGTCAGGGTCAGTGCACCAGACCATTAATAAGTGGTCTGGGTGCTTATAGTGTCCCTTTAAGTGCATTTTCACAAAAGGTCTTCCAGTGTAGAGGGTATGCAGTGTAGATCAGCCACAAGAGATCAGTGTGAGCTGAGGGCTTTAATTCATCCCCGCCAATCACTGTCCACCTCTTTGGACAGAATTTCAAAACCATGCTAAGGGGAAAATGTGACATTTTCCATTCATACAAGTCTCTACCGGCTGAGCAGAGTATGTGCTCACAGTACTTCACTAATAAAGAAAAGTGCTTTGCAAAAAGATGAGGCAAGGATAAGGGTAAAACATAATGTGGCCGTGAGGGGGGATTAAAGTGATCGAAAAGAAAAAAATAGAGCATGCATATGAAATCAATACCAATCAAATGCACTTAACTTGTGTTGGTGCTCAGTGTACTTTTACATGTTTTAAATGTGAAGTATGGCTTATGCCCAATTGGAGAAGAGCTGGTGGCCCCCATCATGGACAACCCTTTTTTGCTTGGGAATGAAAGGTGTGAATTAGTGATTTGCCATCTTTATGTTGCTTAATGAGTTCATTTTAATAAGAAAAGACTACAACCACTGGCCTGGTACGTCCACTGATGGAAATGTATTCACTGAATTCTAGAAATCAGTCTGCTAAGGTTTATTTCACTCCAGCACCCTTGCACTATAAAACAAAATAGAAAGTGTTGAAATTCACCAGAAATCTTTAGTAGGTTAGTGTTAAGGAGGCAAGGAAGTGCAAATTTAGTTTAAAAATTGGAGCAATGTTTTTGTGATAGAGAGTTTGTTCTTAAAAAATTTCAATATATGAAAGTGTTTCCACGGCGCCCTCTAGAGTAACAGATTACACACAAGTACTGAGCAACAGAATTATCAGTGCTAGGCCAGCATGTAAAATGAGAGTTATACAGAAGCTGTAAGGCAGTTGAGATGGTAGCAATAGTATCTGTACAAATCCATCAAAGCTCATTAAAATAAATGCAACCATCACATATGAACAGAAAATATATTTCCGATCCCCTTTTCTATGAAACAATGGAAATTCAGTCATGTGCATAGTTATTTAACATTTAAAAAGGGGGGGAAAAAATAATTCAGGGATGAGATCCAAATTCACACAGTGCTCATAGTAGTAACACCCTTGCAATCTCTTCAATGTAATAAATTACAGGGATGTTATTGTAAGTGCAAAGTGTGGGGGAACAATACTGACAATTCTTTGTTAAAACATGAAGGTAGGAAATGGAGAGTTCAGCCAGCAGTGGAGTGATAATTACTCAATTTGTATTGTCACTAACTTACAGTCATGATCACTGATCAGGTCATTGAATTATATGCCCCAAGACCATTAGGTACATGTATTCTTAAAAAAAAAAAAAGTAGAAAAATTGATGAATAGAACATCACAGATGTTCTGTCTAAACAATTCTGTGCAAAGATATTTAAACTAGGAGGGAAAACATACAAGTGTGTATTTTCATCTTATTAGCCTTTTTATAATTTGAAAACCAATGGAAAGAAAAGAAACATATAAAAAGATGGCTACAATGCCTTTACTTCACAGTGAGTGATGTGAACTGTGTTCTATCGGGAGCAAGTGCATTGCTGGTAGTGGAGGTGAGATTTGAGCTTGTCGGGTGAACATGATGCACTGGCACCAGCCAGGTTACATGTTGCATGTTGTGGGAGTTCTAATTTAGCAATGAGAGAAATATACATTTTGGGAGGGCAGGAGGGAGGGGAGAGAGAGACACTAAAGAAAACAAAGAATCCCCAAAACATTTTTTGCTACTGATCACCTTTTGCTCCCACACACCGCTCCACGTACTTGTAATAAAAACATAAGGCATCTGAAAATATGGCAAGAGGATCCTGTAAGGATTAATGACAGAAGATAGGCAGAAAAAAGGAAAATAAAAATTAACATGCTCCAGGCATTGACTGTCTACAGAGAGTAGGGATTAAGCAGCAACCCCATTTTGTATTCCAGCCTCAGTGACATCTCAATGGCACAGTTTATTGTTGTGTTTTGTTTTTTTTTTTGGTCCAAATGTAATACACATTTTAGTTTTCATTTTTTTTTTTTTTTATAAAAAATGTACTAAAATGTTTAACCAAAATATATATATATATATATATATATATATATATATATATATATATATATATATATATATATATATATATATATATATATATATATATATATATATATATATATATATATATAAAAAAGGAACAGACGCAGTATCAATGATTCCCCAGCAGCTCATCCAAATCATTCATCCACTCTTCTGAAGTCCTGTTTTTTAATAAAGAGTCCAACAAATCAGCATCGCCAGATAAATTCTGTAACGCACCATTTCCAGACTGACTGCCATACCCAAACGGCAGTTCTTGACTTGTCGATCTCACCTGGTAATTCTGGTTACAATGAAGACCAGCTCGATTACTCATTTGCTGACCAGGATTTTGGCTAAAGGGTGCCAGTTCTGGCACTGCTTGGTTCATCACTTGTAATACCTGCTGGTTGGGTGAAGACTGTTGAGTAGCAGGATTTGTCCTTTGTTGGGCTGTCAGATTTGGTATCATCTGACCAGGGACGTTCGTGTTTATTGATGTCATAGGTCGATTAGCCCCAAGGCCAACCTGTGACATGCCTTGTCCAAACTGTTGGTTTGCCATTTTGTGATGATTCTGCTGGAGATGAAATCCAGCATTGGCAGCTGTAAATGCACCCAAGACATTATTTCCTTGAGCCTGATTATTTATATTTTGCATGCCCTGATGCTGCCACACAGGGTTCTGTGAAACCATCGCTGCAGGCATTCTTGGAAGTTGAGCCTTTGACAGCGCAGGATTCATTCCTCCTTTACTGTGCTGAGGTTGCAAGCCAGGATTTCCCATAGGATTCTGTCCATAACCAGCAGGAAGACTGTTTCCTTGACCCATACTTGTTGACCTCTGAATTTGAGGCTGTCCATTAGGTATGTTATTTTGAGCTCCATGATTTGGCACCATTTGTGGAATACCAGATCCCATGTTATACAAGGCACCTCGCTGCACGCTCTGCAAATTGGGGTACTGTTTAACAGCCCTGTCTTGGGAGTTAGAACCAGATGGCAACTGTGGTACAGATGCATGTCCACCACCAATCTGAATTATTGGCTGTGCCTGTGAAAACATACGTGGACTTCCAGAGGAGGGATGATTCAGATTGTTTACTGCAGGCATCACTGAAGACCCTGAAATACAGACCAGATAAAACTTTATATTTGCATTACAAATAACACTGAAAACTGCTTGTGCTACATATTAAACAATTATTCAAACTTTCCATATTGTCCGCTTAAATCTGCACTGATTATTTGCATTTCACACAGCAATGCCCCAAACGCCCCTGACGCATGTTTCGCTAGATCAGCTCGTCAGAGCTGACGCACATTTCGCTACATCAGCTGATCAGAGCTGATCTAGCGAAACGTGCATCAGGGGCGTTTGGGGCATTGCTGTGGTCACTATACTGCTCGCGGTTTTTTCTGACATTTCAGTATTAATTTCTCTACTTATTTTGGTCCTCTGGCATCTGTTCTCTTATTGGTATTATACTCCTTTCAGGAGCGGGTGGATTGCTATTTTATTTCAAACTAGGGTCATTTTAGGGGTAATGGGTGCCCTCGAAGGCACTATAGGGACAGTTATTTTGTTAACCCCTCTCTCTTTTCCCCTACCCACCCTGCTCTATACTTGGTAGAACTATAGGTATTTATACCACTAGTGTCAGATCTTTCATCTAATAGTTATCTATACTACTTTCACTTCTGAAGCAGACAGTTTCTTTTGCTACATTTTGGTTATATTCCTATAGCTACTGTTATACACAGTTGCCAATAGAGCCATCATTTTACTTGTGTCCACCAAGCAATTACTTATAATTAATCTGTTGTCAGCTGATACTCTGTTATTATACAGTCTACTTGATATATGATTTATCGCTCTACATCTAATCGCCCTTTAGGGACATTTACTATTTACCCAGCAATGTGGACCAGCCTCTGTTTTATTTTTAATTAATGTTGTGTGTATGTGCACATAGTACTATTTTTTGTATTGTAGTGGGTCTTTTGTTATAAGAGACTTTTTAGTAATTTATACTTTCATTAAAAGTTACATATATACACACACACATACACACACACACACTTGTTCCCAGTATTCCATTGCTTATATACATATTGTATCCTCCATTTCTTTTCTTTTTCAGTTAATTTAATCCACAATAAAGACGACACAGTATAGTATTGTCAGTGGCTGAGCTGTGTATGTAAACATTTAAGCAATTCTTTAGTGGTTTGGGTGGGGAGTGAGGGAATGCTTATGAAGCAGCATTTAGCAACACATAATATCCACTACTACCAAACACACATACACACACAAAAAACAAAACTACTACAAATTTGAGCATGTAAAAGTTACATGATATTAATAAACCAAAATCTAAGGTGTTTTAAAATATTAAAATGCTGCATCCGTAAAAAGATCAGATACAAATAACACTGTAGCTTTGTCCCACAGTTTCCTCTATAAACTTCAGTGTTGTTGTCTCGCACACATGAGAGAGTACAGCACTGACTAAGCATGGGGAGCTAAAGAAAACACAGTATCCACCATCTGATGTCTTTGGAAAAATTAGCAAAGACCACAAAAAGTGAAAAGGCTGCTTTAAAAAAATAAAATAAAATAAATAAAAACTAACCCCAAAGTTGTATAATGTGCTAGGCTTTATTTTTTTAAATGTTTAAAATGGCCATAGCCATTTGGGATAATGTGCAGATAACGTTTTGAGTTTTTCTCTCAATTTATCAAATACACCAAGCTCAAATCGAATTTCAGGAGACAAAGGTAGTGTTAAATAAACAATTTTAACACATTTTACCTGGAAAAGGAGCAATTTGTTGCTGTGGATATGCACTCTGAGGTTGATCCTGGTATTGAGGTGGAGGTCTGGTCAAATGCCGCTGTAATTGTTGCTCCTGTTGGTGTCTCTGCTTTTCCTGTAAACACATTTTTTTTATTTTTTTACAATCAGTCACAAATACACGTAGTTGAAAACATACCTTGCAGACAAACACTTAAAGGGTCACTATATGTAACCAGACCCCTTAACCTTATTGTATCTTTCCCTGCAGTGTACACTAGTTTCTGAGAAACTGCAATGATTAAGTTATGGCCAGGAATACTAAGGTTAGGAAAAAGAAAAGAAAAAAAAGAAAAAAGAAAAAAAACCATGACAAATGCATGGAATACAATTTAGCACATTAGATAGGTACTGAAGTTCACCACTCACACAGTGGTGTATTTTGAATTTGTGCTGCCCCAGGCATGAGACACCCACACACACACTCACTGACAGATAAAACACACATTTCCAAATAATTATTTACTTTTATTTTAGTTTAAATCCACCAAGCCTAACTACCTTTGCGAGAGCTGGGTGGATTTTTACTTTGTGTCCAGTGTGGCTGCTGGGCTGGCCGCTGGGCAGGCAGGATGGGGGGGTGAGCAGGCAAGGGCGAAGGGGAGGAAGGTGGTGTGCAAAATAGGCAGTGAGGGAGCTATGATTTTGCGGCTCAGCATCTTCTCGCTTGCCGTTAGTGATGCCAGGCGCTGTAGTGACGTCATCACTGTGGATCGACAAAGGGAGGTGAGCAGGAAGAGCTGCATGGTGGAGCTGATGTTAGCACCGTTGACTTTGAGGGAGACAGATACAGGAGTAGCAACACTTGAGGGAGGAAAGACCAGAATTTCAGTTTTGGTCAAGTTGAGTTTAAGGAAGTGGGCAGCAATCCACTTAGAAATAGAGAGGCAGTCAAGGACTGAACCTTGGGGGACACCAACAGAGAGGAGTTGGGTAGAAAAAGCAGTGCCAGAGAAAAACAATGAAAGAGGGTTGGGAGAGGTAGGAGGAGAAACCAGGAGAGAGCAATATCTTGAAGACCGATGTTGCGGAGGATGAGAAGAAGCTGTCGATTAGCAACAGTGTCAAAAGCCGCAGAAAGGTCAAGGAGAATTAGGATAGAGTAGTGACCATGAGATTTTGCAGAGAGTAGATAATTGGATACTTTGGTCAGTGCCGTTTCTACAGAGTGCTTAGCGCGGAAATCAGACTTAAGTGGAGCAGAGAGTTAGACTCAAGGAAGTCTGTCAATCTCGCATACACAACTCTTTCAAGGATCTTGGAGGCAAAAGGCAGTAGCGAGATAGGACTGTAGTTGGATGGGGAGTTGGGGGATCAAGGTTCTGCTTCTTTAGAATTGGGGTTACAGTTGCATGTTTGAAGGGCGATGGAAATATGCCAGAGGAGAGAGAGATTGAGAATTTTAGTGAGAGGTAGAGAAAGAAGACAGCGTACGGATGAGATGCGAGGGAACTGGATTTAAGGAGCAGGTGGTGGGGCGGGAGGACTGGAGCAGAGCAGAAACATCTTCCGTTGTAGCGGGTGCGAATGGACATAGAACAGCAGAGGGAGTGAGGTTAGAGGAAGTATTGTAAGGTGAAGAAGAAAGAGGAGAGATCTCTTCTCTGATTGTAGAGATCTTGTCAGTGAAGTGAGTTACAAAGTCTGGGGCGGTCAAGTTAGTAGGTGGAGGAAGAATAGGGCGAAGAAGAGAGTTAAATGTGTGAAATAGTTAGAAATAATTAATGATCCATTGTGTCTACACATCCCATGTAAAAGTAGAAGCTGCATCTGCCCAGAGGCGGCATCATAACAAAAATCAGAGAAACAGAAGACTGGCAGTTCTCTCCACCAGAGAGCAGCACTCTCAGATTAGTGTGAAAATCGGAGGAGAAACTGCTGCTTCCCTCTGTCCCCACTCCAATTTGGAACTAGCAGCTTGGAGGAGAATAGCGGTTGCTGAGCTGTGACTTTCAGCAGTTATAAAAAGCATAATTTCCAAATAAAATTAGTTTGCAATAAGCAAATATTATTTGCAATTATACAAATCATGTATTCATGAGTGCCGATGCGAAGTGGTTAGAGAAAGTCTGCTTTTATTCCCAAATCAATGGGTAATAAAAACAATCCAGTGGATTAAATGGAAACACCACCTCTCCGTTCCCAATGCCAGAATTTGGATCAACCTATAACTAATCGGGAAGCTGTATGACATATCCCGGGTGTCTATTCAGCATTGCAGCAGTCTCTCCCGGCAACAACCTGCATCTGCCTCCACTGGCTGCACAGTTACTCAATCTGGATGCAAATACTTCCATGGAGCCCAGCTACTGTGTCCTGACCGCACGTGGCACAGGCATAAACAGAAGGGAAAAGTACAAGTAAAAATATTTAATAGGAATGGGAACTGGGTGAAGGGATTAATATGCAAATTATTGGCATTTAATTCTGAAAGCCTGGCTTAAAGGACCACTCTAGGCACCCAGACCACTTCAGCTTAATGAAGTGGTCTGGGTGCCAGGTCCTTCTAGGGTTAACCCATTTTTTCATAATTATAGCGGTTTCAGAGAAACTGCTATAATTATGAATGGGTTAAGCCTTCCCCCTAATCCTCTAGTGGCTGTCTCATTGACAGCCACTAGAGGCGCTTGCGTGCTTCTCACTGTGATTTTTCACAGTGAGAGCACGCCAGCGTCCATAGGAAAGCATTGTAAATGCTTTCCTATGAGACCGGCTGAATGCGCGCGCAGCTCTTGCCGCGCGTGCGCATTCAGCCGGCGGGGCGTAACGGAGGCGGAGAGGAGGAGGAGAGCTCTCCGCCCAGCGCTGGAAAAAGGTAAGTTTTTACCCCTTTCCCCTTCCAGAGCCGGGCGGGAGGGGGTCCCTGAGGGTGGGGGCACCCTCAGGGCACTATAGTGCCAGGAAAACGAGTATGTTTTCCTGGCACTATAGTGGTCCTTTAAAAATTAGCTTTAAGGTTATTTACTAAAGTATGCATTTTATGGAATTTAAAGTGCACTTCAAATTTTACACCAAAATTGTATGTTATTGGTTTAAAATTAAGCCAGAAAGTAAATTGCCTTGAGTTTGACAATTCATGCTCTAGTAACAAATACGGCTACATATAATGCAAAATGTGAGTAAAGAATATATTCACTATTAAACAACTAGCTTATTAGAGAGGTAGTTTCTGCCCTGAACTGCAGCAGTTCAGTACAATGTTGCAGATTCTGACTCAATGAGACTCTCTACCCCTCTCCCCCCCCACCCTCACCCCCACCGGAAAATGTCAGTAACTGCCAGCTAGACACTTCACAGAGTAATATATCCTAGGGTATTTCTATTGTAGTGCTGGGTCTGGAAGTAAAAGGGCCCACTAAACCCAGCATTACCAATCCCCACTCCCATTATGCAGGAAACAGAAGAATACAGCAGGCTCTATGAGTACAAGCGCTAAAAGGATTTTGGTATATGCATTTGGGTAGAAATAGCAACATAAGCCATTAACTGTTTCAGGAAATGAAGGTCATGCAATTTCCATGATATGATAATCCTAGCAAGTTGGTCATAAAACAATTATTACAGAATAAAACATACAGAAAATACCTGTTCAGCCAATAATTGTTGCTGCTGTCTTTGTCCCATTAAGTGGTACTGCTCCCTCTGCTTTTGTTCCATTAGTAACTGCTTCTGCTCCCTTTGCTTCTGCTCCACCATTAACTGCTGCTTCATTACCGCTTGCTGCTGGCTGTTCAGGTAGCCATTATTGTGGTTACCAGCCATAGTGACTGCTGATTGTTGGGTGCCCACACCTGGTCCTGATGACGAAACAGGAAGACGGGGAACACCAGGTTGTGAGTTCTGGTCCTGTTAATTTGATGGGTGACAAAAATTCTGTTATTGTAGTTATGTGATAACAAAAGAGAACTCAAAAAAAACAATGCACTGATAGCCAACACCAGGTAAAATACATTAAAAGTGGTAATGGCAGTGGCTCTGCCCTTTAACCCTGAAACTGACCTCCTCCACACGGTCCCCCTGGAGCCTATTAGGGATCACACACTAATGTGTAGCCATTTCAGGAGCCACAAATTTGTTGTAAGAACAACTCGGCTAAATGGTCAGAATACTTGGCTCTCTCTTTGCTCCAAAATGTGTTTCTTACCACAGTTTAGTGTGGGTGAAATGTATACACCCATGTACTATGTACTGATTAATAGTTATCCCTAGCCTATTAAGTCTGCACACAACTCTCTGCTCCATGACAGCCTAGATTGTACATTTGTCTTCTCTCCCATATTCCCTTCTCCCAGCCTTTTCTATTCTTAAAGGTACACTCTGGGCACCTAAAGCACTTTATCTCACTGAAATGCAAGAGTGTGTCCTTTATTATTTTTTTTAACCCACCAAATATAATGTAGATTTCAATAGAAATTATAACATTTCCTTGTTACGCCCTCCTGGCTGTTAGACAAAAGGTCCTGTTAATTCCCGGTTTGGTTAGCTCAGTGGAGCTAAACTCAAGAGGCAGAAAATTGCCAAGAGTACCTGCCTTGCAAAGATGTCACACTGAGCTGCATTGCAAAATCTGTGATTGGACAGCAACAGAAAGTGTGAGCTGGAGGAGAAGAGGAGGGCTTGCAAAGTCAGCAGACAAGAAAATTACAGCTTTTGGAAGCTGCTTTTAGATATACCCCAATGAAATAATGCTTAAATAAATGCATGCATGTTTTTACTTTGATTATTTCTACTAAACAGTGAATATAAAATACCCATATGTGTCTCAGATATTGTATTTTTAAGCTGAAAGAAGCAAGATGAAATGTAGGACTCACCCAAAAGGTTTTGCATTGACATGGCAGGTGAGCTTACACTTTAATGGCCATTGGATTGATAGTAAACAACATCCTGTTATTTAAATGTGCATAGGGATTTGAGATAGTGTGCAAGTAACTTTTATTTGGAATACTCCATTCTCTCAAACAAATGTTTTGGTTGCTCCTGAAAAATGGTAAGTGGATGCTAACCTGGCAAGCATAGCTGAACTAAACAGTCACTGTACAGGGGATGGGCCTATAAATGCAGCTTAATACCTTTAAACAAACAAAAATAAAAGCCCATTCTTCTCCAAATTCCAGTTTTACCTTCAGGTTCCACATTTTATTCAGTACACAATAGTTAGTGACTTTTCTTGTTCAGTATAACTATGACAACAATGAAAATGGAATCAATGTCCCAACAATGGTTAGCAAACCAGTCCTCAAGGCATGCCTACTAGTCTAGGATTTAGGGATTGTTGGTGTTTTTTTTTTTTCCTCCTCCTTTCTTTCTTAAAACACCTTAGACACAACTAAGTAATAGATTTGTAGAGAGTGCCTTGAGGTCTAGTTTGTGAACCATTGTCCTAACTGAATAGTTCCAGGCTTACTGCCACGGCTCTTCATTCACATTTCCCTCTGGCTAGCTGCTAGACCCGGGCCTTTCTGAAGCCTCTGTCTATCCTTTACATCAATGCATTCTCCCTGTACTTTGCCTACACATCCCTGATTGTATACCAGTCTTATGACGCTCTGTTCTAGTCCTCTCCCTATGTTTCCCAATGACATTCCATTTTTGTCTGCCTTTCTAGCTTATCTCGATCATCTAATATAATGTATAGTAGGCGGCGAGGGAGTGGAGTGACGTTCTATTCCGGTGTCACCAAGCAGCATGCGAGGGAGCAGAGCAGGAAGATTATAGCTCCCTCGCTGCTAACTAACAAAATGCACAGCCAGCCTCCCGCCCACCTCGGAGAGAGCGGGCTCACAAATACCAGGCGCCAGGAAAAAAATTCCATGGAGTACTGACAGTGGAAGAGGCAAGAAGTGGTGCACAGAGATTCACTGTTAGCGGTTTGCTACATATTATGGGTGTGCCAGTGCACTTCTAGCACCATAGGCACTGCATCACTTTGTATTGGAGTGTTCCTTTAAGATTTACATATGTTTTTCAACATTATGGAAGGGTATCATATTTCTTGGTTTATCTGTCAGTGAGGATTTACATTCATTCCATTGTTTATTATCTTTGTTCTGCATGTGGACACACGTTTACTGAAAAAGTTACACATTTTGCCAAGTGGATACTGAACACATCTTTTTCTGCTTTAAGTCAAAAACACCAATAATGCAAAGTGTGTTTTCTGCAACAGAGAAAATAAACAGTCAATGACTCCACATGAAAGGTACCTTTTCTTATACTGAAACTACAGAAATAGATAAACATATCTACATTTATTGTCATTTCTAGGAAATGCAAATCCCGAAACATGGAAAGCTTTAAAACAGATTTAGCCACAAGAACTAGGTTTGACTCCACAAGATTGTGGGAATTAAATGGGTATTTAAATCCAGAACCAAACACACATACAAGCGGTTTGTCACAGAAATATATTGCCAATAGTTTAATCATTAACAAAACATTAGTATATGCCATCACAGCATTATGTTCTACAAGGATCCTATTCCAAGATGGAATGTCCCACTCAGCTAAAGGCTACGCGGCTGCATGGGACAGCCAAAGAAACAAGCAGGGCATTCAGTGCCGACATAAGGTATTTGGAAATCAATTTGTAAAAAATGTCAAGTATTACATATGTTGGTTAAGGGGTTAAAGACTACAATAACAAATACTATAGAGCTAAACTGCTGTAACAAATTATATAAAACATTTATTGTGATGTGATGTTGCTTTATCTTTTGAAATGTGCAAGATTTTTATTTCACAATAGATCAGATTTAAAATGGCACAGGGGCTTTCTAGAATTTACTTTTAAATTCATCATACATAATCCCTAAAATTTGTTTCGGTTTTGTTTATTTTAAATTATGTTCTGTTTTCACAAAAGTTCCAATTGCAGAGATTGATATGAGCATTGCTCTTTAAATTTTTCATTTTCAGCTCCTACTGTGTAACTTGACTGATGCCTAGGATCAGCCAACAGTCCAGTTAAAGACAGTGACTTGTGAAGGGGAGAAGAGATAGTGTGTGGTTTAAAAAAAAAGGCAGGTGTCAAGCAGTCTGGTTAAAACATACAGATTTCTTCACGTAGAAGAGCTTCATGGTAATATCTGAAGCAATATGGTGACAGGATTTATACAATACAAATACATATATTGATAACACACCAATATACTTTTAACATTAGGTTAGTAAACACTTCAGATCATTCAATGCTAAACAAAACGTGAACAGATAAAGAAAGTACAATACACAGTTTACACACTTACCTGGCCATGTGGTACTAAAGGCCTATAAGGAATTCCAGCTTTTCTCTTCATCATGAACATTTGGCTTTGCTCCTCAGTCATATGAGGCAATTGTTGCTGCTGGCGTTGCTGAAGATATGTCAGCATTACCGTTTTGCTCTGGTTCTGTGCTGCTGTCACCCCTGGACCACAGTCCGCCTCAAAATGGGACAATGGTTTTGTGTTGCCATAGTCCAACATAGAATTTGGGCCCGGAACCTGAGCAGAGTTTATATTATTTGGTGGCTTGTGACCAATCATGTTTACATGGTTTGCCTGCATGTAATTTCCTGCACTACGCGGAGAACTCTTGTTCATGTTCTGCATCATTAGTTTCTGATTGTTAAAGTCTTGTTGGTAAAGAGAAGGACTGGTTGGCTTCTCCATGTTGTACGGAACTCCAAGAGGACTCTGTGAGGAACCAGACTGTGGCCAACTCGTCATCTGATTGGTTTGGTGAACTTGTGGCTGATTCTGCAATAACTGGTCCCGTTTTTGTTTAGCTGCTATCTGCTGAAGTTGGTGCGCAGAGGACATTTCTTTGGCACTTCCAGCTGCTTGTCCAGGCATTAGTACATTGGATAGAGATCTCTGCACATTTGGTGCTTGGTTAGTAGATTGCATCATAGTCTGATTGGTAGAATCCGTAACCGTTTGAGCAGATGGCTGGAACACAGTGTGATTACCACCTACTACCGGTGATGCACTACCAGGCACTGAAGAGTTTCCAATATAGGGACCCGATGATGCAGACCTCACTTGGGGAGATCCAATGGACTCCTGCTCAAATGCTGGAGAAAACTCACTCTTTACATGAATATCTTGAGCAAGGGGAGTCTGTGTTGCTGAGTTTGAGGCATCCGTGTCTTTTTTGTCTTCAAAACCTCCACTGAAAAGGTCACCCATATCTTCATCGGGTACAGATTTGTTTAGTTCTTCTATGAGTTCTTTCCATTCCTGCTCATTTAGATTTAAATCAGGTAAGTTATTCTGAGACATGGAACCACCAACGGCTGAAAGCATACACGGTAGATCATCCACTGGCTCCTGCTTCATCTCTTTCCCCAAGCAAAGGGAAAACTCATCAGCATCACCATTAAGCTGCAGAGCTGCATCTGAAAGACACTTTTTATTAACTCCATCTAGTCCAATTGAGTGGTTTCCATTAAGCTGCAAAGAGTCTCCATTTGGAGGTTTGCTGTCCAGCTGATGAAGAGGTGAGCCAGGAGGAATGCCATTTGAAGACCCAATTACTCCTGTAAGTCCATCTTCATGCCTAAGTTTCTTGGGCACAGAAAACATGTCTCCATATCCATTTTGTTGTTCCCCATTTTGTGGTGAAGATGCATTGTCCAACTTTCGTTTAACAGTTTCATGGAGCTGCTGAAAGAAAAAAAATGAATTCAAATTACATATTAGCCAATAAGCAACGATTCTTCATTTATCATGTTGTATTACAAATCAAAACATAGGCAGTCAACTTAAACTAAAATTATAAAACATAATTGTAACAACTCCTCCCTCCCCAATGACATCAGCATGGATAATAAAATAAAGGATTTATGCATAGTATTATTAGGTTGTCGGTAAAAGTTTGAGTTTCAATTATTGTAAGCAAAGCAAATACTCACTAGTTCACAGATTCTTAAAAAACAACCTTTACGTGATTTTTATGTACATGCACATTAACAAACATTAATCTATTAATCTATTTAACACCAAGGTATTTAGTCAGTTATTTTGGAATATCAAAAATTTCCTTTTAACACTAAGAAAATACACTTGCAACATAGGACTAAATAACCTTTTCACATTAAATTGCAATATAACAATTCTGTACTCACTATTTTACAACAGATTAAACTACACCCTTATAAAAGCAGATGCATTAGGTAAATCAGTACCATGATTATATAGCCATTATATTACTATAAAGTTGCAAGGTTGATCGTTAAATGACCTTAAGATTACAGACCAAGTACTTCCATAACTGAACTCTAGGAGTCAGCCTTTGCAAAGTGTTGGAAAAGAAACGTGGTCCTTCTTTGGCAAATGTTGAGAGAGAACAGAAGCTCCACTCAAATTGTAAGCCAAATGAATTTCACTCTGGTTATGGAGACCTTTCCAGAGTATGGCAGTCCTGTTTAAGCCTTGTAGTACTTCTTAAATCAATTATTTTATGAATTGTCTACACGCACATATCCACAAGGAATGCATTAACATGGTTTTCAAAGAAAAGTTACTAAATACATTTACCCTTTAATGTTGGTGGCTCATAAATCTCAAAAGTGCTTAAAGAGTATCAAAATCTAAAAGGTGGCTACAATTATATTTATTTGTAAGTACAGAATTATAGCTGTAAGTACAAAACAAAAAATATTTTTGCAAACTTTAATCTTGGGCCAGGACTGTCACTGAAAGGGTCACATTAAAAAAAAGCACCAACCCTTCAGTTCATTAGATTAGTCTGCGCTTAGAGCTTCCACCAGAAATTACCAAAACCTTTTTGCCAGTTCTGGCAGTGTTATGGTACCAGGTATGTTTTTAACAACCCCTGACTACCCAAAAGGAGTCAAACTGTTAAGGGAGTGACTTCAAACTGTATGTCTACCAAGTGCTGCTCCCTGTCTCTAGTACTTATTATAGAGAGTTCAAAAAGTATGAACTGACAGTTCATAATATAAAGCGGACAGACCACAAAACAGAGAATAAGTGGTTTGTTTTTTTAGTTTAGTTTCACATGAAATGCCCATGGCAAGATATATTGCAAACACAAAATAAAAAAAAATGTAAGCATATTACAAGAGCTTTATATGAAGTATTTTCATTTTACATGCTTCAACATTGTCTAGAAAATGTGAGACCAGTTAGGTGATAAAATTTGCATGCAAGTGAAATGGAGATATGCATAAAAAAAAAAAAAAAAACCTCACAAAAATTATATATTTATATATAAATGACAAATGAATAATTGAAATTAAAGAATGGATCTTATCTCGATGGCCTTCACATTCTTCCACACTTACAAAACACAATGCAAGCATTTATTTGTATTAGCTTTTGACTTTGCAAACAGAGCGCGGACAGAGCGAAGGCGGGGGCGCGTGCGGACAGAGCGAAGGCGGGGGGGGGCGCGCGCGGACAGAGCGAAGGCGGGGCCGCGCGGGGACAGAGCGAAGGCGGGGCCGCGCGGGGACAGAGCGAAGGCGGGGAGAAAAGAGGGAGAGGGAGAAAAGAGGGAGAGGGAGAAAAGAGGGAGAGGGAGAAAAGAGGAAGAGGGAGAAAAAGGGAAGATGGGGAAAAAGGGAAGAGGGGAAGGAGGAGAAGGAAGGGAGGAGAAGGAACGAACAAAAAAACAAAAACAAAAAAAAACCAACAACTTAAGACAAAAGGGGGAACCCTAAATCCTGGACTGTTTGGGGGTACTTCAGGACTGGACTGGGAACACCTGCTTTAAGCCAAAATCAGTAGAACCTCATTCATAAACAAAAAGTACAATTTATTTTCCTGAAGATGAATGAGAAATCCTTTAATTTTGTGTAGCGCCATTTTTCTGCCATTATTTTATTTTGACCCAGTAGGTGCATGCCTATCTACAGGCAACTGTGTTACGGTGAACATGGGTTTCACTTTAGGTCTTTTGCATGTTTTTACAGCTTTCTTCTAATTTACTTGTGTTTTATGTGTCTTATCTAGAGCTGTGTAACCTGTTGACTCAGATAAAATACCATCACCTGCTTCCCAGCTTATATGCAATTTACACTCCAGATGACATTAAGTGGCATCAGCAACATACATATACATATTACCCCACATCTTTAAATCTGTCCAACATAGTTAAGAAAAAAAGAAGATTTTTGCTTTGATGACAGTTTAGTGATGGATAGAAGGGTAAACCCCCCCCCCCCCTTTCAATGAACAGCATTGCCAACTTACTGTTATGCCCAGCAAGCAGGTTTATCCAATAACTTTGTTAGCTACTGCATTTGAAGAGACGTTTCCTCTATAAAAATTAAAGGCTTGTGCTAAACATCATAAGCACAAGAAGCCGCTGTAGTTATGAGGCCAGGAGTACCCTGTCCCTTTCCCCAGGTATACGCCAATCCAGCCTGGTATTCATTTGCTGAGAGTGTCCGATTGCAATTCTAATCAAGGAAAAATTCACAGAATTTACATTAGTCAGACCAGAAGGAGTTATGCTGCCATAAGTGGAGCCACACCTCTGGCAGCAGAGGAGGTTAACCTCCTTATGGACAGCGTTTTGTGAAAATTTTAATTCTGCACATACAGACTGCAGGCAGGTACCATGATCCGTCAAATGCCCCAAAGTGGTTATGGTGCCTGGAGTTACTCTTTAAGTCAAGAGACGCAATTACAGAACCAAAGTGTCAAAACGGAAATAATGGGCTGAGACTTCTGGATGGTTAAACTAAACATCCAATTAATCACTGATCAGAAAACTAAAGGAAAAGAAAAAGTGAATGAGTAAATTAAAAATGCAACATTTGCATGTCATATATAATGGATAATGCCGAGCCTGCATGCTTCTCTGGCAGCAAAGATAAAGTTTATAACTACTGTGGGAAGAGGCGGGGCACACAAAACGTGGAATGCACAGCTAGAAACAAAACATGGGGCGTATTTCTCTTTAACTCTAACTACTCTGCTTTACACTGTCTTTATGTTAAAAAAAAAAAAGACTATTACCATGCCATCGGCATTTCTATCCTCAAGTAATACTTAACCATTTCTGAAAACCAAACATTTCAAGAATGCAAGCACTCATAGCTTTGACTTAATATTTGGTGTCATTCCACAAGTGCAATTTTATATTTAAAATTACAAGTAGAACACTTAATATACAGTCACATAATCTAGCAGACTAGATAGGCCAAATGGTTCTTATCTGCCGTCACATTCTATGTTTCTATAATGCCAAGACGGACACTAAAGTTGTACTTTTGTTGTTTGTAATCATAGTATGGTTTTTAACAAGCTGGGTTTAAACTTCCAGTCTTGGTGTGGCTGGGGGAGGGTACTGTGAATATGGCATACACCCATGTGACATCACTCATACCAGGAAACTAGAAAGGAATTGAAATTCACTTAAAGGGGACTTGGCACAAAACAAGTGTGCTACTATTTCTAAGAATGTGCCCAGAGCATTGCAATTTTTTCTTCATGTCAAAGCGGCAGTCAATATTTTCTGATGTAAAGGAGTATGGCAATGTTTGACAACCTATGGTATATTGCTCTATAAGAAGGCTCACTTAGGAGCACTAGTCATCTTTTGGTCATGTAATATTTTTTTACATTTATTTAGTTCAACAAACTTAATTTTTCATTCTAATGGATCCTATGAATGAAAGACATCATCCCCTCCCCCCCTTAAAAACAATGTAAATTCAAGGTATCAGTGGCCTTTTTCTTTTGATAAATTGAAATCATATGGTCTAGTACAAGGGTAGGCAACCTTCGGCACTCCAGATGTTGTGGATTCCATCCCCCATAATGCTCTTACACCCATAAGGCTGGCAAAGCATCATAGGGGGTGTAGTCAAAAACATCTGCAGTGCCGAAGGTTGCCTGTGCCTGGTCTAGTATAAGCAAATATATTATATTAAGAAGATTACGACACATGCAAGGATTATAAAAATGTAAGTTTTACATCTTACAAGACTATGAAGCACAGATAGCCCCAGGCTTTACTTTTTCTGTTACATATTTTTGCTCTGTATCAAAATCACACTTTCCAAACATTCAAAATACAGAAGGTATGTTACAATTTGGGACCCATGTCTTACTGTCAAGAGTCTTGTCATGCCAAAGCATGAGTTGACAATTGATATATTGTACAAAATAAAGGTTTACCTTAAAAGATATATAATACAGGTTCTTTCTTAAAAGTGTCTTTTTGCCTATATTAAATAAAACAAATACACCTAGTGTGACCTGTATTTAAACATATTATAAATAAGAGTAGTCGGCAAACTCAATTTTTAGAGCCTATTATAAGTTGGCTCTGAACTTATGGTGCATTTCATCTCACTTCAGGAGATTTGTAGGTAGAAATTAAGCAGTTTAAATACAGGTCACACTATGTGTATTTGTTTTATTTAATATAGGCAAAAAGACACTTAAATAAATGTTTACCTTAAAAGATATATAATACAGGTTATGTGCGCTAGTCACTTTATTCTGTACAATCACATGTTTCTTTAAGTGTAGGAGTGACATTACACTTGGTGATTTTTAGCAGCACTAGACACTTTCTTTTTTCAACGCTGCTTTATTCTACTTTTCTGACATTTGATATATGTTATGAGTTTTTGTAAAAAATGTTAGGATAACATTTATTGTAAGCTTTGATCTTACACCAGGCCTAAGCTATAAAACTACTAGATAACCATCACTAGAGCTGGACATAGGGCATCGTAAAAGGTATTGGTGCATATGCTCTGACTTTGGGTTCTTAAAAGGACAACATAATTTAAGAAAATATGGAGTGGGCAATAAACTGCCAGGCCAAACCCCTCTGGTCCACCCATGGGTCTGCCCACTTAGAAACAACTAGTTTGAGGTACATAATGAGGAGGTTGGACTATCCAGTCAGATTTATTTTTTTTCAACAACTACTTGGAGACCTGAAACATCTGAATCTCCCACAAGAATTATATATAAGCGGTAAATATATGTAAGGATGTCTTGTGTTTTCTCCTATTTAATTTTACAGACTGTTTTGCAATTTGTTATCTGTGTTTCTGTATGTCATTTATTTCTGTATTTTTGTACACAGTACTGTGAATCCTTTTTGTCAGATTAAATGTTTACTTAATCAGCTTGTGTCTTTGTTCTCTATGAGCTCACTCTCCTGAGGAAAGCTCAGGTAAACACGTTACCAAAAGGGTTAATTATACAAGTCTGATCAGTAAATTAAGGTTTGAGATACTGTAATTCTACTGTGTGTGGGGTAACCTAAGACGCCCGGATATAAAGTCTTGGTGGTGTAATTAAAGTGTGTACTATGGTGTTTCGTGTAGAGGGGATTTAGTGGCTGATGGGACTAGCAACAGATAACCAGGGGTCTGGTGTCATTAACCCCCTTACTTCCACAGTCTCCCCACTGTTTCAGCTTGGCCAATAGCCCACATTCTTGACAAGTCGTTTCTCCAATTTCAATGTTTAATTGGATATTAAACCAGAATATTTTTTTTAACAGATAAGTCGAGAGTATTTGGCACTCTCTGGGCATGCAAAAATATCAGCTTGGGTGTCTAATAAGTGGTCCTACAAGTACATGCTCACACGTGCTTCCTCCAAGTTAAAGACTGTAATAGAATAATTGCTCTGATAGTGATACATTAAAGGAACACTATAGGGTCAGGAACACAAACATGTATTCCTGACCCTATAGTGTTAAACCCACCATTTAGGTGGCTTGCCCCCCTTCCTCCACCTCCCTATTCCCAGTGCCAAGTGGGTCTGCACGATCCGCCTCCTTGGTGACATAAGAATTGCTGATTTTTTTTTTTTTTCAAACTAGGATTGGGCAGGGCCAGATGCCGTTTTGGCCAATCTGCACCTCCTCAGAGATGCATTGAATCAATGCATCTAAGGAAAATTCAGTTTCCCAATGCTGAGCGTGGAGAAGCTGAACAGCACTGCCCCAGGAAGCATCTCCAGTACATGTAAACACTGCCTTAAATTATTATACTCACCAGAACAACTACAATAAGCTGTAGTTGTTCTGGTGACTATAGTGTCCCATTAACTTCAAAAGCCAATAGCAGCATTTTGTACTGCTTTTAGTCCATCGGCAGCAGTGGGTACATATTTAAACCAGACAGAGAGCTTAATATAGTCTACACTGCCCAAATAACGGTGGGACAGCTAATGCGTTAATACACGACGAAAAGGCTAAACACTTTGCAGCAGCACCGGAAATAATAACAGGAAGGGACACAGGACGATAAACATTCGAGACAATGTTAAAGTGTTCTAATTAGCTTTTAAGGTATAGGATCGATATTAACCGCTTAAGGACTGAGCCAAATGTACACGTTGTGATCAAAACAAAACGTAAACAAAACCTGGCATTTGCGCTATATGTCTGTTCAGGCGTAATTCGCCTCTTTCATATTATGTGCACCCACACATATATATAATTTTATTCAAGGGAAACGGTTTAATTTAACATCAAATATTTAGGTATGAAACAATTTAATATGAATAAAATTAAAAAAAATGGGAGAAAGTAAGAATTTTAATAATTTTTTTTAGTTCTACCTGACATTCTAACTGTGAATGTAATAATACTGTTTGCTTAAAATACCCATATTTTTTTATTCGGCGATGTCACACGTGTAAAACAGTACCCCCTATGTATAGGTTTTATGGTGTTTTGGGAAGTTACAGGGTCAAATACAGCATGTTACATTTTTTATTTTTTCACATTGAGATTCGCCAGATTGGTTACGTTGCCTTTGAGACCGTATGGTAGCCCAGGAATGAGAATTACCTCCATGATGGCATACCATTTGCAATAGTAGACAACCCAAGGTATTGCAAATGGAGTATGTCCTCTTTTTTTTAGTAGCCACTTAGTCACAAACACTGGCCAAAGTTAGCGTTAATATTTGTTTGTGTGTGAAAAATGCAAAAAAAAAAAAAAACCCACAAACTCATTTGAACCAGTGTTTGTGACTAAGTGGCTACTAAAAAAAGACTGGACATACCCCATTTGCAATACCTTGAGTTGTCTACTATTGCAAATGGTATGCCATCATGGGGGTAATTTTCATTCCTGGGCTACCATCCAGTCTCAAAGGCAACGTAACCAATCTGGCGAATGTGTAATACATTTTACTTTTTTGAAACACTAATATTTGTGTTCAGCGAAGTCTCCTGAGTAAAACAGTATCCCCCATGTACAGGTTTTATGGTGTCTTGGAAAGCTATAGGGTTAAATATAGTGCTAGCAAATTCAAATCCCTATACTTACGGCCTGGGTTGTCAGGCAGGACCCTCAAATTGTAATTAATAAAATGACATAATTATGTAAAATTACATAAATATAAATGTAGAATTATAAATATATGTATAATTTTTTTTAAATTATTTTTATTTATAGGTGTATATAGTGATATATACGTATATATACTTCAGTATATAGATATATATTATTCTACGTGTATTTTGAGATATATTAATTTTAAAATACAGTTAGAAGGAAATTACACAATTTCTTTTATATTAAATATAAATATATATTATATCAATATTCTACGTGTACTTTGATATTTATATATTTTAAAATACACTTAGACCATGTATGTGTATGTACACACACTTAGATCACATACACACACACACACACTCTATATACAAGTTAATTTTAAAACGGTTTTAACCTTTTTTTTTATATAGACAGCAGGGGGAGTACGCCATCCATGTGATTGCAAAGTCCTCGCGATAATATGGCCCAGGAGGGCAGGAGAGGAAGGAGAGGAAGGAGAGGAAGGAGGGGACTCCCTGGGCTGCCAGGTGAGTCCCCACACCGCGATCGACCGGGTAAGTAGAAAGGACAGCGGGGACGTGCTATGCCGCCCCCTGGCGTTTAGAGCCGGGTCCCCAAGGACGGCATAGCACGCCCACCATCCTTAAGGGTTAAATGGTACTCATAGTTTTGAAAATAACCATTATTTCAAGACTATAAGTTCTCTTCTGTCTAACCCACATTGCCATAAAACATTAAAGTTAAATAATGATTACTCATTCCAGCTCTGCCTTCAACAACTCCCACAATCTTCCCCATAGAGATACAATGACTTGGAACTAGGCATACATGGTCAAACACCAAGCTCCTCCAATCAAACACTGCTCTTTATTTACTCTGTTCTGGAGGAGGAAGACAGTTTTATTTAAAGGACTTTAGTGCCAGGAAAACAAACTTGTTTTCCTGGCACTATAGTGCCCTGAGGGTGCCCCAACCCTCAGGGTCCCACTCCCGCTGGGCTGAAGGGGGTTAAACAATCACCTTTCTCCAGCGCTGAGCACCCTCGGCGCTCAGGACTCTCCTCCTCCTCCGGTCGTCATCGGCTGAATGCGCATGCCCAGCAAGAGCCGCACGCATTCAGCCAGTCCATAGGAAAGCATTCTCAATGCTTTCCTATGGACACTGACGTCTTCTCGCTCTGAAAGGCACAGTGAGAAGCGCGGAAGCGCCTCTAGCGGCTGTCAATGAGACAGCCACTAGAGGCTGGATTAACCCTATTGTAAACATGGTAGTTTCTCTGAAACGGCTATGTTTACAGCAGGCAGGGTTAATCCTAGATGGACCTGGCACCCAGACCACTTCATTGAGCTGAAGTGGTCTGGGTGCCTATAGTGGTCCTTTAACTCTGCAATATAAACTTCACAAGACCAAGGTACCCACTGAGATGAAGTGATCTGGGTGAATTTAGTGGCCCCTTATAAAGAAACTGTATAGGTTAAAAAAAATAAAAAATAAAAATGCATATTTCCGTCCCCAAACAGTCAATCTACGTTTACCAAATTTTTTTTTTTACCTTAGTGTAAAAATGAGATTTATAAGTACCTGTTGTAATTTTTACTTTGATTAGATGTTCTGCCAATCCTCTGATTTCAGGTCAGATCTCCCTGCCTCCTGTATTTCAGCCAGACGGTCCACCAATGGCCATTCTGCAGTAATTCTCTATAAGAATCAGTAATGACACGCCTTACTGTGCGTGACGGAGCTTCACTCAGCTAAACATGCCTAGCCAAGCCTCCTCTGAGTCCTCCGCATTCAGACACTAGAACTTACAAAGCACATCTCACACACACACAAAATTTCCTCACCACATTAGATATTCTATAGTGTCGTGTGTATTATAAATATAAAGAGACAAATTCATAAATACCTATAGAGTTTTGTGTATATATATCTATACACACACAATATATACATACATACACACACACACACCTATCTTTCAAAGCTGTTGTAAGCTGTAGACACCTACTCCAAGGAATCCATGTATAAAGTGGAATTATGAGGCAAAAATGTGGTTCTTTGTTGAGCTCATTTGCATGCATCTACCCAGAATCTCTTGCAGTAGTGAGAGCACCGTTGACGTGAGATTTCTGTGGGAAAAGCACATCTTATGGCTTGACTGGTGTGTGTATTTGTGTTTAGCAATGTATAATATATATATATATATATATATATATATATATATATATATATATATATATATATACCAAGCAAAAGAAAAATCAGCACTCCCAGGATTTGTAAATAAGCCAAAAAAATACTTTACTCCACAGGTCAACGTTTCAGCTCCTCTTGGGAGCTTTCATCAGGACAGCATACAAAACTTTTGTATGCTTATTTACAAATCCTGGGAGTGCTGATTTTTCTTTTGCTTGGTATTTATTGTGCAATCGAGCACCGGGTTCTATTTAAAGTTTGGTAGGAGTGCAAGGCTTTTTTTGTTATTTATAATATATATATATATATATATATATATATATATATACATATACATACACACATATATACATACATACACACACAAAATTTAACCCATGCTCTAGACCACAGCACTTCGCCCCCCTCTGCTCCTACATGCAGTCCATTGGTGGCTTAGTTACAAACTGGAAAGCAATCATTCCCTCCCAGGCGCTCTGGTTTATTATTTATCATTATTCTCCCTGATAAATAAACCAGTGGCCTATATTCCTCGGATCACTCCATAAAGAACTAACCAGAGATCTTCAATAATGCTATTAAGATAGTACCCTCCGCATAACAAGGTATTGATTACAAGAAGGGGACATTGATATGCAAGGAATTATTGGTATATACAAATAAGATCTTTATACTTGGTCTGCTCATGCTGATATTTAAAGCGCCCCATTGGTTGCTAGGTTACAACCTGGATGCAAACAACATTCGCAATCACGATAGAAGATTATCTAGTCACTCCCCCTCCAGGCCTGGTACACAAGGAAATGACACTGAGGTTGAGCATCACATCCAGCTGCAGGGTGGGCAGTCTCATGGCTTGGTGAGTACACAATTGGGGTGAAATTACTGTGTGATTGGGGGGAGTATATATTCATGTATTTGTACACTTGTATTTTATTGTTTGTCCTGATGAAAGCTCAATGTGGGAGTTGAAACGTCGATATATATCTCTGATCTCTGACTGTGTCTCTAGAGGTTGATTAACAGGAGTTGGAGGGGAAGGGGTTAACATTGGGTAGTGAGGTTGGCTGGCATGCGAGAGGATAACACTGAGTAGGGAGGCTGGATGAATTGGACTTGAGGAGAATGTATTGCTTGCATTACAAAGGATGGAGGGAGAGGAGCACATATGGGCTCTAGCCGCAATGCAGTCTGTCCTGTGAGCATTACTTATACTAGGTAATACATGCCTATTTTCATTGGCTGCAAAAGGTATGTTTCTTTCAGGGACTGGGAATTAGGAACACGTTGAAATGTGAAAGGGGGTGGCTAATGAGGCTGGGTTACACTGCTTAAAACAGCAAAGCATTTTACAACACTGCATGAAAACTACAGAGAGTTGAAAGAAGAGAAACCAACGACAGGCATTTTGAGCTTTTTAGCTTACATTGTTTAGCTGCCTGGAGTGTCTTTTTACATTTCATTCATAAATTAAGATATAGTGAGAAGTTCATATGGCTCCCTAAGAGAAGGAGCAAACTACACTGCGCATAAAAATAAAGAAAGAACAAACATAACATCATAGATCTGAATGAATTAAATATTCTTCTGAAATACTTTGTTCTTTACATAGCTGAATGTGCTGACAACAAAATCACACAAAAATTAAAAATGGAAATCAAATTTTTCAACCCATGGAGGTCTAGATTTGGAGTCGCGCTCAAAATTAATGTGGAAAAACACACTACAGGCTGACCCAACTTTGATGTAATGTCCTTAAAACAAGTCAAAATGAGGCTCAGTAGTGTGTGCGGCCTCCACGTGCCTGTATGACCTCCCTACTACGCCTGTGCATGCTCCTGATTAGGTGGCGGATGGTCTCCTGAGGGATCTCCTCCCAGACCTGGACTAAAGCATCTGCCAACTCCTGGAAAGTCTGTGGTGCAACAGGACGTTGGAGGATGGAGCGAGACATGATGTCCCAGATGTGCTCAATTGGATTCAGGTCTGGGGAACGGGCGGGCCAGTCCATAGCATTAATGCCTTTGTCTTGCAGGAACTGCTGACACACTCTAGCCACATGAGGTCTAGCATTGTCTTGCATTAGGAGGAACCCAGGGCCAACCGCACCAGCATATGGTCTCACAAGGTGTCTGAGGATCTCATCTCGGTACCTAATGGCAGTCAGGCTACCTCATGGAGGGCTGTGCGGCCCCCCTAAGAAATGCCACCCCACACTATTACTGACCCACTGCCAAAACGGTCATGCAGGAGGATGTTGCAGGCACCAGAAGGTTCTCCACAGCGTCTCCAGACTGTCACGTCTGTCACATGTGCTCAGTGTGAACCTGCTTTCATCTGTGCAGAGCACAGGGCACCAGTGGCGCCAAACGTCCTGCACGGTGTTGGGCTGTAAGCACAACCCCCACCTGTGGACGTCGGGCCCTTATACCACCCTCATGGAGTCTGTTTCCATTTGAGCAAACACATGCACATTTGTGGCCTGCGGGAGGTCATTTTTCAGGGCTCTGGCAGTGCTCCTCCTGTTCCTCCTTGCACAAAGGCGGAGGTAGCGGTCCTGCTGCTGGGTTCTTGCCCGCCTACGGCCTTCCTCCACGTCTCCTGATACACTGGCCCGTCTCCTGGTAGGGCCTCGATGCTCTGGACACTACGCTGACAGACACAACAAACCTTCTTGCCACAGCTCGCATTAATGTGCCATCCTGGATAAGCTGCACTACCTGAGCCACTTGTGCGGGCTGTGGACTCCATCTCAGGTGCTCTAGAGTGAAAGCACCGCCAGCATTCAAAAGTGACCAAAACATCAGCCAGGAAGAATAGGAACTGAGAAGTGGTCTGTGGTCACCACCTGCAGAACCACTCCTTAATTGGGAGTGTCTTGCTAATTGCCTATAATTTCCACCTGTTGTCTATCCCATTTGCACAACAGCATGCGAAATTGATCGTCACTCAGTGTTGCTTCCTAAGTGGACAGTTTGATTTCACAGAAGTGTGATTGACTTGGAGTTACATTGTGTTGTTTAAGTGTTCCCTTTATTTTTTTGAGCAGTGTACATTCTCTGCCAACTGTACAGTTCTTAGACAGGCACACACATATGTATGCTAATAGCTTGTTTTCAAGTCCTTGTACTGCTATCCTCAACGTGTGTTAAAGCACAGCAGTGATATCTTTTGTGTTTTTTGTTTAATGTTTTTATTTACATTCTATGCCTTGCTATCAAGGTACAACCAGGGCATACCATTAACATTTAACCACAACAGTGGCACTACTTCAGATTTGCACAAGGTCGCAAACACTCCTGTGGCATTTTTCAGCACGGGCAGAGAGTACCATGAGGCTATTGCTATGAAACCAGGAGTGGTTTAAAATTTAAAAAATTGTGTTCTAGTTCATGGGTCTTCAGGTGGAACTATCACCAGTCGTCAAAAGTAAGCTTATGGTAGAAGGAGGCACATCCCCCCCAGTGCAATGAAGATCTGATTCACAATGAAGGAGTCTAATGGAATCATTTACAATTGTATCACATGACAAGAAGTGAATATTTTGCTTAAATCTCTCTTTTCTAAACTCTCATCAGCACCAAATTAGATCAATCACAGTAACCAATCAAAAAAACTAACAAGAGTCTATAGAAAGACCAAGCATAGACGTATATAAATATATACACAAATATAATATTAAACTCACCAATCAGTAAAAGCTTAACTGGTAATTAACGTGTTATTGGTTTTCAAATAGCTTCCCCCATAAGACTTCCCAGTAGTCTCCTATAAATGCTGTGTATAACCAACAATATAGGGATACAGCTATAAACAAAATAAATATGCAATAGTGTAAAACAGTAAAGAACCAATAGAACGTATTGTTTAATCTGTTTTCCTTAGGGAGAACATACCATTCTATGAATGTCATGAGACCTGCCATTGCAGTAAAGTGAACTATCAGTCAGGATCCCTTGATTTGCAGGCTATTGTCAGGCATTAAGACGGCACGGCCTCCAGCTCCCAAGTATTCTATATTGCAAATATGTCTCCTAAATTTAAATTAGAGCCATCTACCTTAGTATCTAACATGTTTATTTTGTATTTGTTTACCATACTTGTATGTATGTATACAAGAGACCTGGCGCCTTTGAATTTTCTTCAGAATATATTACCTACCGCTTTGCTGCTCTTAAAATGGCGATTTCAGTGAACTAACAAATTTTCTGCACAGTTAACAGTTTGTCATCTGAATAAATCTACATTGAATTATGGGCTACAATAACTTGATCCAGTTACTGCTCTATCAGAAAGTTTCAATACCATGTAAGTCTGTTTCAAGTATGACATTAAATAATAAAATTTATTTTTTTCCCCAATTAGTTGAGCAACTTTCTTTAATTTATTTTAAACAAACAAACAAAAAAAAACAAAAAAAAGTTATCCTCAGAATGATGCATGTGCCGAATTTCTAACTTATCCACCGGCCCCACCCAGACATTTAATACACTGACAACATACTTTGATCATGTTGCTGAAAGAACTGCCAAATCCTTCCTGATGTATGACACTAGGTCTTTTAATGCTTAAACGGGTCTGAAACACCTAATTGGAAGCCTTGTTAGTCAGTTTACAAATAAGTTTAAAATAAAAAAAATATACATGTTTACAGTCCACTCATGATTGTCACAATGTACAGTAGTACATCATGGGGATGTGTTGCCTACTTTATGCAACAAAAATCCCTAAAGCTGAAATACTTGTGTCAAAACCTTTGCTATAATTTAGAAAAAATATAAAGATACCTAAAAAAGTGTGTCTTCTGTACTATGGGAAAACACCACTTAAAAGTAGTGGAGACATTTATAAAAACACTCCTTCGGTTTTGTGGTTTATTACAATAGCTATATTCTCTATGTATTTATCTCTGAAAAATGTCAAAAACATAAAAGGAATGAAAACAAGATTGCTCCATAATTAGAATTTACTTCAAATTTAGAAATATGTTATAGGTTAAGCAAAACCTGAATAAGAGATAAAATGGATGCTTGACTGTACAGACACAATGCAAAGGAAAATAAGAGCATTACAAAGGTTTCCTCCCAATGTTTAGTTTCTATCCTTAAATTAATAACATGCATATTTTCTTAACCCCTTAAGGACTGTGCCAAATGTACACGTTGTGAACAAAACAAAATGTAAACAAAACCTGGCATTGCGCTACATGTCTGTCCAACCGTAATTCACCTCTTTCATATTAAATGCACCCACCCTTATTATATATCATTTTATTCAGGGGAAACAGGGCTTTCATGTAATATCAAATATTTAGCTATGGAACATAATTTAATATGAAAAAAATGGGAGAAAATATTTTTTTTTAGTTCTACATGACATTTTAACTGTCAATGTCATAATACTGTTTGCTTTTACTGCAATAAAATACACATTTGTATTCAGCAAAGTCTCACGTGTAAAACAGTACCCCCTATGTACAGGTTTTATGTTTTTTTGGGAAGTTACAGAGTCAACTATAGCACGTTACATTTGAAATTCGCCAGATTGGTTACGTTGCCTTTGGGACTGTATAGTAGCCCAGGAATAAAATTTACACCCATAATGGCATACCATTTGCAATAGTAGACAACCCAAGGTATTGCAAATGGGGTATGTCTAGTCTTTTTTAGTAGCCATTTGGTCACAAACACGGGCCAAAGTTAGCGTTAGTATTTTGGCCAGTGTTTGTGACTAAGTGGCTACTAAAAAAGACTGGACATACCCCGTTTGCAATGCCTTGGGTTATCTACTATTGCAAATGGCATGCCATCATAGGGGTAATTTTCATTCTTGGGCTACCATAGGGTCTCAAAGGCACCGTAACCAATCTGGCGAATTTTAATGTGAAAAAAATTAAACGCAAGCCTTATATTTGACGTAACTTTTGAAAACACCATAAAACCTGAGGGGTACTGTTGGAAACTTTGCTGAACACAAATATTTGTGTTTCAAAACATTAAAAAGTATCGCAGCAATAATATCGTCCGTGTAAGTGCTGTTTGTGCGTGAAAAATGCAAAAAACATCACTTTTACTGGCGATATCGTCGTTGCAATACATTTTACTGTTTTGAAACACTAATATTTGTGTTCAGCGAAGTCTCCCGAGTAGAACAGTAAACCATGTACAGGTTTTATGGTGTCTTAGAAAGTTATAGGGTTAAATATAGTGCTAGCAAATTAAATTCCCTTTACTTTCGGCATGGGTTGTCAGGCAGGTCCCGCTAATTGTAATTAATTAAGATACCTAATTATGTAAAAATATTACATAAATATATAATAAATTATATATATATATATATATATATAGTGATATATACGTATATATTTATGTATATAGATATATATTTCGTTCTACGTGTATTTTGATATATTAATATCACAACACAGTTAGAATGAAATAACACATCTATATATTTATTTTTAATTATTTTTTTAATTTATTTTTTAACGTATTTTATATATAAATACCATTATATATATTTAATCAGTATTAGTCTACGTGTAATTTGATATATATATATATATATATATATATATATATATATATACACACACATACATACATACACATATATACATACATACACACACACACACACACACACACACACACACACACAGGAGGTCTGATGTGCCGCAGGGGGCTCGCTGGGAGCCCCCCCAACCGCGATCGCCGGCGACCAGGTAAGTAAAAAAAACAAAAAAACGGAGGGCGTACTATTACCCCCGGCGGCGTTTAGAGCCGCTTAAAATAGGGCATAATAGTACGCCCAGTCAACATGTAAAGCATATTATTGGAGAAGGGAGGAAGGGGGAATACATTAGGTGTAGAAAGAGATACAACTGAACAAGAAATGATTCTGCTTGATGTGGGACTAAATCTAGGCCACATAAGATGCCAGCATACTGGCTTTTTATGATTCAGGTTACTGTATTGCCCAGTAAAGCAATCTTCTAGTAATTCACCATAGGTTTTGCCACGCTGTTCAATTCTACCAAAGAAAAATAGAAAATAGAATCTTTTTAAGATAAAGATAATACAAACACACACAGTGAGGTGAAAAAAAAGTATTTGATCCCCTGCTGATTTTGAACGTTTGCCCACTGACAAAGAAATGGTCTATAATTTTAATGGTAGGTGTATTTTAATAGCGAGAGACCGAACAGCAAAACAAAAACCAGAAAAACGCCAAAAACGGTCAAAAAAGTTATACATTGATTTGCATGTCAATGAGTGAAATAAGTATTTGACTCCTTCGACTTAGTACTTAGTGGCAAAACCCTTGTTGGCAATTAGAGGTCAGACGTTTCTTGTAGTTGGCCACCAAGTTTGCACAAATCTCAGGAGGGATTTTGGCCCACTCCTCTTTGCAGATCCTCTGCAAGTCATTAAGGTTTTGAGGCTGACGTTTGGCAACTCGAACCTTGAGCTCCTTCCACAGATTTTCTATGGGGTTAAGGTCTGGAGACCTGTGCTTCTTGAGCCACGACTTTGTTGCCATGGCTGTGTGTTTTGGGTCATTGTCATGCTGGAATACCCATCCACAACCCATTTCCAATGCCCTGGCTGAGGGAAGAAAGTTCTCACCCAAGATGTGATTGTACATGACCCTGTCCATCGTGCCTTTGATGTGTTGCAGTTGTCCTGTCCCTTTAGCAGAAAACACCCCCAAAGCATAATGTTTCCACCTCCATGTTTGACGGTGGGGATGGTGTTCTTGCGTCATAAGCAGCATTCCTCCTCCTCCAAAACACGGTGAGTTGAGTTGATGCTAAAGTGCTTGATTTTGGGCTCATCTGACCACAACACTTTAAAGGACCACTCTACGCACCCAGACCACTTCAGCTTAATGAAGTGGTCTGGGTGCCAGGTCCAGCTAGGGTTAACCCATTTTTTTTCCCCAGAGAAACTGCTATGTTTATAAATGGGTTAATTCAGCCCTCAAATCCTCTAGTGGCTGTCTCATTGACAACCGCTAGAGGCGCTTGCGTGATTCTCACTGTGATTCGCAAGCGTCCATAGGAAAGCATTATGAATGCTTTCCTATGAGACCGGCTGGAATGCACGCGCACCTCTTGCCGCGCGTGCGCATTCAGCCGAATGGGAGGAGAGGAGGAGGAGGATCGGAGGAGAAGAGCTCCCTGCCCAGCACTGGAGAAAGGCAAGTTTTAACCCCTTTCCTCTCCCCAGAACCGGGCCTTTGACCCATTAAAATTATAGACTGATCATTGCTTTGTAAGTGAGCAAATGTTCAAAAACAGCAGGGGATTAAATGGTGTGTGTATAATATATATATATATATATATATATATATGCACAGAATTGTTTCAAACAAAATTGTCACTTGTCTGGGGTTTTATTAGGTTTACTTGTCCTCACATTTAAGAAAATTTGTTTGTGGCGTATGAAAAACTACATGTACAAATCCACACATCTGTAGCATGCAACTAAGCACATTTAAGCTGCATGTAAACCATTGTTATAACTACTGTCCTTCACATCCGGCAGTAAGCATAGAGAAAGCAATGTTAACAAATATTAGAATATTTTCAATGTTATCATTTCTACAGTGACCGGTAAGAAGAAAAAAAACCAAAGGTAAAAACGCTAACAAAGCTTGTTCTTTGTAGAGACAGGCAGAAAACCAAGGAACTAATTAAATGTTTTTAGTTTATATCCTAAAAGGAAGGGACACTACAGTCATCAGAACTACTACAGCTTAAAGGACCACTCTAGGCACCCAGACCACTTCAGCTTAATGAAGTGGTCTGGGTGCCTGGTCCAGCTAGGGTTAACCCATTTTTTCATAAACAGTTTCAGAGAAACTGCTATGTTTATGAATGGGTTAAGCCTTCCCCTATTTCCTCTAGTGGCTGTCTCATTGATAGCCACTAGAGGCGCTTGCATGCTTCTCACTGTGATTTTCACAGTGAGAGCACGCCAGCGTCCATAGGAAAGCATTATGAATGCTTTCCTATGTGACCGGCTGAATGCGCGCGCAGCTCTTGCCGCGCGTGCGCATTCAGCCGACGGGGAGGAGAAGAGGAGGATCGGAGGAGGAGAGCTCCCTGCCCAGCGCTGGAAAAAGGTAAGTTTTTACCCCTTTCCCCCTTCCAGAACTGGGCGGGAGGGGGACCCTGAGGGTGGGGGCACCATCAGGGCACTATAGTGGTCCTTTAACCCCTTAAGGACCAAACTTCTGGAATAAAAGGGAATCATGACATGTCACACATGTCATGTGTCCTTAAGGGGTTAATGTAGTGGTTCTGGTGAGTATATAATGTCCTTGCAGTCTTAGTACTGTAAATGCTGCCTTTTCAGGGAAAGGGCCACATTTACATTGCTGGCTAGTAACTTCCCCTAGAGGCAGTCTGACAGCCACTACATGTGCTTCCTAGTAAAGTGCTGCACAAAGATATTGTCTCCACGTAGGCGCTGAACGTTAGACATAGAGACGCACTGATTCAATAGCCTCCTAATGCTTTCCTATGCGCGCATGCTGTAAATTGTATAGATAATATTTATAACAAGAAAACGGATTCCTGTGTTATAGGAAGATTGCACCCTATGAAAAATTTTTTTACTAGCGCACATTACAAAATGTACAAGTTTCAATTATTGTTTGATGTTTCAAACAGTCAAATTGCACTACTTACATAAATTTACCTATGTAGGAATTTTCAGAAAATCTAATTGAAATAAATATTTAAGGCCAAAATAAACAAAATTGAAATTTTTTTTGCAAGTCAGCTATGCTTCCAGTTCAACTATTTAGATCTAAAATTTGAAATTCACTTTGAATTTGCGACAATTCATTTTAATAAATACCCTGTTGGATTCTTACCAGTGTTATAACCAAGCAATCAATAAAATTCAGTCACATTAAAAGGAAAAAACAAAACTATTTACTATTTTTTTGGCAATAAAAAGCTGGTAGTCTGAGCACAATTTATACAGCAATGATAGCTAAACAAGTTACCCCGTACATTAAAGGGACACTGTAGGCACCCAGACCACTTCTGTTAATTGAAGTGGTCTGGGTGCACGGTCCTTTTGTACTTAGTGCTGCAATGTAAAACATTGCAGTTTGATAGAAACTGCATTGTTTACATTGCAGCTCTAAGTCTGCACTCTTTGGCTGTCTACCAGTGGCTTCCTGAATAGAAATGGACCTTTGGTCCAGTAATGCGCGTGTGGGCATTTGCCACGCATGTGTATTAGACCACGCGCCGAGGGACATCGGCACTGGAAAAAGGTAGGGTTTTTAACCCTTTAACCAGAGAGAGGGGAGCACGGGGGAGGGAGGAGAGCAAAGGTGACAGCTATCAGCTTAGTATTCCTGGAACTACTCTATCCCTTTAACAAAAGTTTTTGTGACTGTCAATTAGCTTTGTAACTTTATAAATATACACAAGCATCAGGAATGCCATGTTAGCTACCATGGTACAAAAGCTATATAGAGTTGTTGCATTCAAGATTTTTAACAAAGGGTGAGCAAGATCTACCACTACTCAGACTAGGGGGTGAAGAAATCTCAGCAGATAGAAGGTAACAGCTCCTAAAGAGGGATCAATAGATAGATCAAATACTAGCTCCTCCAAACAGGGCTCATAAATTTCAAACAGTCTTTCTAGCTGCAAAAAAAAAAAAAGGGTATGAGAAGGTGAATATGTAATTAAATGGTGTAAACATTCAAATAAACACCATTGGCAAAGTACATTTTCCCCCCACTTTCCTATTGAATCAGGATACAAATACGTAGCTATACGGTGTTTTGTTTGAGTACCAGTGGAAACAAGCAGGAAAACACAGCCATGGCTGCTGCTACATGCCATTTGTTCCAACATGAATGACACTAAGCCTTAATACTCTCTTTTGTCTCTGAAGAATGCAGAGCTGTTGCTTTAGCAACGGAGGCCCGTATTAACCTCTGGGCTGCTGGGAGGTCCTTGCCATACTCAGGCCAGCTGGTCATTCTGCTGGTTAGAGAGGTCAAAGCAGAACTGCAGAATTGTGTGTGCGCGCGTGGGGGCACGACACGAAACATCTTCAAACTCAGTGCTCCTCCCCCTCCCCCACATACTGCTTGTCCTTGCAACACTGTTTTCAGTTCCTGTAGACATAGCTTGTTGGCAAATTTGAACAGCTTTCTATGAAGAGGAATTAAAAACTGACATTAAGGAAGCATGACTTTTTTATCCCCGTGTCCCTTTATTTCTTGAGGTCATACAACTTTTGGAGGTGTTGAGGGGGGTAGTGAATACTTTTAAACTGCAAGTAAACTTAAATGTAATTCAGCACCAGTGCATACGGTTCACTGAAGCCTGATACTCCTACTGTGAAGTAATCAAGCCTAAAATAGACGTTTTGGCACCATAACAACTTCATCTAAATGCCTCAATACTTTCATATGGGGATTTCACCAACTCTAGATAATGCCCTGTGTCATTTAGGGGACCAGGAGTCAGAATCCAGGAAGTGCCTCTAGTGGCCTGTCTGACAGCCACTAGAGGCAGTCTTTGTCCTGCAATGTAATCATTGCAGTTTCTCAGAAACTGCAACGATTTACATTGCAGGACTAGGAGGGACAGGGACACTGCACCCAGACCACTACAATGAGATGAAGTAGTCTGGGTAACTATTTATAAAATATTTTACCAGGAAGGATACATTGAGATTTCTCTGGGTCCACAAAACATTGTATTGATACAACAGGGTACAATAAAAGACAAAAACAATATTAATACACAATATATACAAAATTTAACATGGAACAGGTAAGAATTATATAATCAACCATGACAGGTGCATTCTGTTATGAGATATGTAGACAGGGATCTCTTAAAGAACTTTAGGCTTGGGGAAGATTTGAAAGTGTGTGGGAGGTCGTTCCATAATTGCGGTGTTCTGTAGGAAAAGGTCGATCAAGCCGCTTTGTTTTTGTATTGAGGTAGACTAAAGTATTGGTACTGGATCGGAGGTGTACAGGGTCCCTATCTTGGATAAAGTTTAGATGCAAGTTTTTCTATGTAGAGGCCAAAAGATAGATTGGGGTCTAAAATACCCGAGTATTTGAAAGAGTGTCAGTGTGCTATTTGATTTTGTTTTGATGGATAGATGGGAATTCTGTAATTTGTGTAATTTAGATACTGTTCCAAAGATCACTGCAACAGTTTTGTCAGTGTTTAGGAAGAGTTTGTTTTTTGTGATCCACTTTTCTACCTAATGGCCCTTCAATGCTGGCTAAGATCATCAATTCTGATTAGGTCAGCCAACGAGGAAGATATGGGGGCAGGGCCAGCGCCGGTAGACCTGCATGGTGCTGGAACAAAGGTAAGTTTTCTATTTAAAGGGAACAAGTGGGGGCAGGGGGTTAAATTGTGCAATCGCTATATGGTCAGGAATACACGTTTATTCTCACCCTATATATTTCCTTTAAAGAGAGCTATGATGTAAAACCAAAAAAAGATCTTTATGAAATAAAAAAAATTAAAAATTAAAAAAAAAAAAAAAAAACACGTCTCATAGTAAAAAGTAATACAAGAATGTAGGGAACCAAATCTCTGGAATACTATGTGCATGTTCATGGACAAGCTTAAAAATTACAAGTTCTCAAAACGTAATCTCTTCTCACTGATGCTACATAACCAACATAAATTTAGTCAGACTATGAATTGCTTCATATTACAACAACATGAGTCTTAAATGAGGGGGAGGGCAGTAAGGACTACCGATTAACCCCTTCCAGGCTGCAACTATGCAACATGGACTCAAGGATCAGCAGGATAGCTCACTGTTCAAATTGTTCTGCTGAATGGAATCTGCTTCTCACCCGCCCACACAAGCCAGAAACAATGCATTCCAACAGCCATTAACTTGCAATGTAATGCTAGGGTTGGTTCTGCTAGAAACTCAACATTTAGTAAAGAGAAATGCAAGGCAGTCCATGAAGTACAGGGGTTTCACCTTTCAAAATCAGAGGTTCAGAAAGATGACAAAGTGTCTTATTGTAATTCAGGAGATTGACAGATATGTCCTAAAATGTATTTGGCTCTTAAGTCACTTAACAGTAAAATTATATACAGTATATGCGTGTATCTGTAAACATTGAGCAAGGTTACACTAATCTCTCCAACTTGCACCTAACAAAAACAAAAGGAAGCTAAAATCATCTTACAAAATATTTACAGACCTGGGGTATTTTACTCTTCTGACAACAACTGTGCTAGGATTGTTTAGGTGACGTAGCATTTTACGTGAAGCTTTAGAATTATGCAATATCTCACCTGAGGGTAGAACAGAAGAGAACTGCTGACCTGAGTTTAACCCTAGCAAAACCGCACACTGTAGTTGTATAGGAAGGAAAAATATAAATGACATCAAATTCTGCTTTTACCGTGTCTTTCAGTGGTTGCTCGAAAAAAGAAGGGAAAAAACCCAGTTTGAGGATTTTTTCAATTTTGCTATCAAAAACTAAGGAGGGGGGAATGGGTGGTGGGGAAGAGGTTGGCAGTCAGATCTCTCCATAGATCAAAAAGCTGTTACTCCATATATTAATTGGGATATCCCTTTTGCACGAATTAAGCCACTGTTTAAAATTCTGTACGGACTAATAAAACCACCTCTTCAGGCAGAGTTCTACATTTTTGCCGCTAGCTACCTTAATGTTAACAGAATACAGCTAACTGCACATGACTGAGTAAGACGCCTTCCCCATGTTTCACAGCATAGTGAAGTTGCTAAATCAATGATACTGTCAAAGATTTGACAGTTGTCCAACTTATTTTACTAGTTTGATGCAGACCATATTTAAACGGATAATCTAATCCCCATCTTGAGCAATTTAGGTGTATAGGACATACCTTTGCAGTATTATTGCTCAATTCTCGGCTGTGTAGTATTTAAAGTATTCTGCTTCTGTTTATGCAGCTCTAGCCACACCTTCCCTGGCTGTGAGTCACACACACAGAGCAACATGAGAAAAAAAAAAAAAAAAAAAATAGTTTCCATTTTAAATCAGATCTTACAGAGCACTGTTTTTACTTTATAAAAGATTTTCCTAAATGAACTTCAAAAACGAGGCTCCAACAGGCAATTAATACATTCTAATTTAATTAACTGTGCAATAAAGGAAGTCTAAGCCAATTTCTCTTTACAGGACGTTTGTAGGGAGGTATGCAACGCATATTCAGGGGAGGTGTGGACAAGACTGCAAAAGTTACTTAATTCCTATATGCCAAAGTCTTGAATTGAGACTGCATGAGTATGCTGTATACATCAAAAATAATTAAGTAAAAAATTTTAAGATACTTTAAGTTGGTCACCCAAACCACTGGGGATAGCAAACCAGTACCAAATCAGCATAAAAAGAAAGGGGATGGGATGGTAAACATATCCTGCAGATTACAAGTGAACACTAGTTTTCAATAACCCAATCAAAAGGCATCTAAACTTTTTTGCTGCCTTTCTGCTAACCTTAGATAAAACATTTTATAGATTTGCTAAGCATTGTAAAAATGTTTTATTTTGTAAATGTGTTTATGCAGTCCTAGCCACAGCCTTCCTAAACACTGCCTGTAAAGAGATCTTCCTTTATTGCACAATATGTTTACTTTAGATTTTATTTTCTCTTGCTCTGTTCATATTCAAGACTCTGCCAAAGTCTCCTGTGTGATTAAAGAGAGACTAGAGACAGGAATACATATGTGTATTCATGATACTATAGTTCTGAAGTGGCTGCTTAGGCAACTGGCCATCTCTGATCTTAGTAAACGGCAATCAATCTTGATCTCAGCCAATTTAACAATTTACCATAGGAAATGAATAAATGCATTGCAATGCAGGGACAGGTTATAGAAACCAGAACCACTACATTAAGCTGTAGTGGGTCTGGTGACTATAGTTTTCCTTTAAGATCGGATTTAAAAAAAAAAAAAAGTTTTATTCGTGCAGCCTATGAGAGGCAGAGATTTAAGCTGTGAGACTGCATGATCTATACTCCCAAACTGCTTCATTAAAGGGACTCTCCAGTGCCAGGAGAACAAATCAGAATCCTGCAGTGCCCCCTTCATTTTCACCCCATGATGGTTAAGGGTTAAAATCCCTTCAGTGACTTACCTGAATCCAGCGCTCGGCGCTGGGTCAGGCTCCGCCCAAGCTCCTCCCCCGTCGCCAGCCGACGGGGAGACCTAATGCACATGCGCGGCAATTGCCACGTGCGCATTAGACTTTCCCATTGGAAAGCATTATTCAATGCCTTCCTTTGGGGATTCCGGCAAAGCTGGATGTCCTCATACACAGCGTGAGGATGTCCTGCATCGTTTAAAACCGTTTTCGTGTTTTAAGAAGCCGGAAGTCCCTCTAGTGGCTGTCTGATAGAAACTGCAATAATTATACTGCAATAAAAACTGCAATAATTATACTAGCAGGGTTAAGGGTGAGTTGGCACCCAGACCACCCCAAAGGACAGAAGTTGTCTAGGTGCCTGGAGTGAAACACAAAGTGGAGAAAAAGTAAACAGAGTGCAGGTCAGGAGTCTGGATACAAGTCAAGGGCTCATAAAGCTGCACCACTGTAACCACTTAATAGGGAGCTCCAATGAGGGGGTAACCCTCCAAAATATGTAGGTAATAGGAGTAGGTGATGTGTAGAGTCCCACAAGGGGAAACCAACATCAGGAGAGCTCCACTGTATAAGAAATGGGGAAAGGAGGCCCTCCCTTTAATCAATCTAAGGATAAAAAAGGATATGCAAACAAAAAGTATAACTTGGAAAAAAAAGAGACAATTGATCCCATGGGCACCGTTTAGTAGATCTCCCTTCCCTCCTCCCCTCCCCCCCCAAGTTATACTTTTTGTTTGCATATCCCTTTTTATCCTTAGATTGATTAAAGGTAGGGCCTCCCTTCCCCATTTTTTATACAGTGGAGCTCTCCTGATGTTGGTTTCCCCTTGTGGGACTCTACACATCACCTACTCCTATTACCTATGTGCCTGGAGTGTCCCTTAAGCTAAAGTTGTTTTGATACCTATAGCTCCAAGAAAGGAAAACTCAAAAACAAATAAAATTAAAAACCAACGTACAAAAACAAAACTGTTTGGGAAGACAAGTACATGATAAATAACATGCAATCTGGAGTAGCCTCAATGAGAAATTACAACTGCAAGAGAATTTTGCCAAGTGTTGCAACGCTGCAAAGAGCAAATTAACAGAGAAACTCCTTCCATGGCCCAGATAATCTGATGAGACTGTAAAATGATCTTCTTGGTTAGAAATCTCCCTGGGGGCACCTGTTCTGCAAAAACACTTTTCCCTTACAAAACCAAAGCATGCTGTGTGAGAGTCTGCCATCAACTTTAATATCCATTGCAACAGCATACAGAATTCCCGTTTTAATAAGACATCACAAAAACTAATAACTGCCTCAATACAGCAAGAAGCTTTTTTGTGTTATTACAGAAATCTCAAAAAGAACTTTTAAAAGTTGTCTTCTACAATACATATATATTTTGTGGATTGACCAAAAAAAAAAAAAAAAGGTATCATTGTATAATGCATTGCTCTGGTATTTCAATCTCTCTCTCTCTCTCTCTCTCTCTATCAGCCTGGCACCCCGACTAGTTACCTCCGCAAATTGATGCTTCCTAGCTGTCGCTGAATACCATAAGCACCGCAGCCCCTTAGCTGCCCCACCCTAGACCAAACTCCTAGATCCAGCTCCCAGTGGGAAGACCTCTCCTCCAAGAGAGTATAGCAGTGTAGCTCTTACAAGAGCTAGTGTTTATAGCAATCCAAAGAACAATCCCATGAGCAGGGATTATAGCAGATATAGCGGTTCCTCCAATCACGAGACGATGCTTTGTGTTGAGGGTAAGCAGGAACTCTTTAATGGTAGCCACAATTTATATGCAGGTCCCCATTCAAGGGGCACTCCCTGGACCTGAGAGTAAACCACAGTAGAAACAAATACATAAGATAATCCCTCCTCTGTGCCTGTGAGATAATTGGATCAGGAACTGTACTAATCTAATCCAATTATCTCCAAGCACAGAAAAACATGCAATACAACACCACCCCAAAAAACACATGGAAACCTCACAAAAGTCCTCCAAAAATCACCCGGATCGGTTCAGGGGTTCTGGATTTCCATGGAAGTCACAATTTTGACCGACCGTGCACATGGTCCTATGCCCAAAACAGTTCTAGTGAATTCGGGCCAACAGTTGGTCTCTCCTTATGGAGTACAAAAAACACAAGTTTTAAAAGGGCCCAGTCTTTTGGCAGGAGGCTGGCAAGCAGGCCCCTCCAAGAACATGTGGCAGAGGCATTTCTGCCACAATATATATATCTAAAATACCAGAGAATTGCAGTATGCATTATTTCAAACAAGCTTTTGTGTTTTCGTATTAGTCCAGTAGACAAGATGCCAAAATACCAGAGCATTGCCGTATACCAATATTGCATTTTTTTTTTTTTTTTTTTATATATATATATATATATATATATATATATATATATATATATATATATATATATACATATATATATACATACACACACACACACACACACACACATATATATACACACACACACACTATGCAATGCTTTTTACCTTCACAAAGCAGTATATGGTTTCCTACGGTGCAAGCAATATGACTAAACATTTCAGGCACAAATAAACTAGTACATAGTGGAGTATTGCTGGATGCGGATGATATGCCTCTAGAATGGCAAGCTCATTGTAGTAGGTCCCTTAACACGCTCTGTTCCTGTGCGTCCAGCTCGTCTTTTTGCAAATAAACGTATGTTAGTCCATCTATTGTACAGCGCTAAAGAATTTGTTGGCGCTTTATTAATAATATGCAGGTCTTAAAGCGGCAGTCACCTTTTAAAATCTTCCAATACCCTACAGGGCAGCCCCCCCCCCTTGTCACGGAATCCTAAGGGCTTGCCTGTCAATCATAGGAAAAATACATATGAAAAAGTAGTCCCTATTTAGACATATCATGACTGGGTTGGAATCTCTGTGAAATGTTAACAGTATTTATGGGCATTTAATACAGATTTTATCTTTATGATATGCTCATTTTGTTTTGGGGGTGACAGAAAATTTAAAAGCAGTGTTTTTTTGTATTCATGCCTCCATAAGACTGACAACACATGCCTTGTAGTATTAAGGGACCTACTACACATGCCATTTAGTGAGGATCACAGTCTTAACTACAAGAAAAGATGGCAAAATTGTCATTTAAATGTTCTTGAGTGGCAAAATATATTTTCTTCTGCTGGGTTATTTGTATACAAACTTTCAGTTGTATATGCATTTTTTTTTATTTTTTCATCTTTCCACTTTTTGGTTGTTATAATGCAAAATATATTTTCTACCCCAATAAACATCACTTTCGTGGGTACCAGACTGGATTTGTTGCTTTTTTTGGTGGTGCTTTGGCGAGGGGGGGGTGGGGGGTTGGGAATCAACAAAATTTCATGCCCTTTTGTTCTGAAGCATACCTTCTGAGTTCCCACCAGTACTCCCTCCCCCACCTGCTCCTCTTATTTCTACAAACATCATTCCCTGAGGTAATGTTCTTTCTTTTCTCTTCAGCTTTCTCTTCCCAACTAACACTGCAACAATTATAACCCAATCACCTTTTAACTTTATTGTCCATTTCCACGCCCACCTACATATATTTAATACCAAATGTGGCTGGTGAAATTGGGGACTTTGAAAAGATACTAAAGATGTGGCAATCGAAGGAAGCCGCTGTTTTAATGATCGGTGGTCACCCTTCAGAGATTAATAAAAGGAGAGCTATTCAGCCGATTAGCAATAATCGCACAAAGTATTCTTGAAAAATGGAGAATCAAAAATGGATATTCTCTCAACTTTCCACATTAAATTATTTTTCACACCCCACTGTGTCTCCAGGACTATGAAACTGTATATAAAAAAAATTTCTTGTTCCCTGCCACTCACTGTTCCCAATCTTGTACTCTCCTTAGTGCTACCTCCAGCCAATTCATATGTTCCAAAAAGAGTGCACTCGAAGGACTTGATAAGTTTCAAATATGTGCTTTATTCAACTTACAAATATACATGGTCGATGTTTCAGCCCACCCGAACGTTAAGATAATTTACAAAGGTAAAGGAACTGTGCTAGAATTTGCTAATTAGAGAGTGAAACAGGTGTGAAACGAAATCTTGTGATATCAGATGTAACATGTACATTTTTGAAAAAGTCACGAGAATCCATTAACCCTATCAAACCAAGTGATAGAATGAAAAGTGCTGGACTAAAAGATGTAGAAAGACTATTTACAAGATACAGAAGATGGATGTGTATATATTTTTCTGTATATTTTTTCCATACATTTTTTTCAGATATAATTAGGTGCATATACTTTTTTGTAATTTCTTCTAACCGCTGTTGCGGTGCTTCCATGCAGAAACTATGATGAACTTGAATTTTGACATTAATAAGTGTTGCCTTATGTATATTTGGAATCTTCATGCATGTTGGGTGGGCTCAAGTATGCTGCATTGGTTCCCTTTCATTATATTTTTTACTTTGTTACTTGCATATGACTACATCGCAGCTCTGATTTCCTAATCCTGTAGGAGTATGTGTACATTATTGCTACAATCTATCTTTACTTAATATAACCATCTCGTATCAGCCTCATGCACCAGCTTATGTTGAGTATATCTTTCTGTGATGTGTGTGGGATTCCACGGGGTCTTTTCACGTATACTTTACATGTACCACTGTTTTTTTAATCTTTTTATGTTTATTTTATTTTGACTCCGCAGACCCTCACATCCATCTTCTGTATTTTGTAAATCTTTTTCTACATCTTTTAGTCCAGCCCTTTTCATTCTACCACTTGGTTTGATAGATCGGGTTAATGGATTCTCGTGACTTTTTCAAAAATGTACACGTCTACTCTGACATCACAGGATTTCATTTCACACCTGTTTCACTCTCTAATTAGCTAATTCTAGCACAGCATTTAAACAGGTGTTTTACCTTTGTAAATTGTCTTGAAATAAGTCCGGCTGGACTGAAACGTCGACACTGATATTTGTAAGCTGAATAAAGCACATCTTTGAAACGTATCAAGTCCTTCGAGTGCACTCTTTTTTAAATACATACATAAACAAAAATCTGCACACCAATCAAGCCATAAGACTTTCTTTTCCCACAGAAATCAAATTTGCAGTGATGTTACTACTGCAAAGGATTCTGGGTGGGCATATGCAAGTTAACTCAACAAGGAATCACATTTTTGCCTCATT